AAAAGCAAAGGAAACTTTGTTCAAGGGGCGTTGGGCTGACATTAGTTTGAATGATGCCAATGGAGCTTTGGAGTTGTACCATATTTTACCAAAGAGTACCCCCTTTTTAATGACCCCCACTTGGGCCCCATATTGTTTCTTTATTCATCCCATCTTTCACTCATTGGTGTCACCAATCTATTCCCTCATAGAATCATTAATTTTTCTTCTCTTTTTGGTATTTTTATTCAATTTTTGGGTTTTTTTTTTTTTTTTTTTTTTTTTTTTAACATTGGACCTCATCATCAAGACCAATAAAAGCTTGATTTGGAGGTACATGAGTTGCTGGAAAATATGGTTTGGAAATCATGTGCATAGGAAACCTTTGCTTGTTCCCAAACTCTTTCCTCTTATGTAGCCCTATCTACCTAAAGAATAACATGTTTACAATGTAGTGAATGAAAATGTTTTGGTTTTGTTTGATGAATGATCTTTGCATGTTATTTGCATACAGGTAATCAACTTCATTGATTTTGAATGGAAATAATTTCATCAAATAAACCATGAGCTTTGTGGGGAAAAAAAAAAAAAAAAAAAAAAAAAAATTCAAATGTTGAAATCTTGTGTGCTTAATAAATTTGAAGCATGACATTAAACAGCCACATGAATTGTAATATTGTTTGAGCAAAAGAAAATAAACACACACACACACACACAAATGCTACAATTTTGTAAGTAAAATATCAAAATGAAAAAAGGTGAGATATGTTGAACAAGTCCTTAAATTTCTTGTCATATTTTACAGGGTCTGTTGGATTTCAATTTGAACATGCACACATTTGTAAAGCTTTTAACGTACATGCTCACTATCATTAAATTTAAGACAATGTTTCTTATCATCATATGCATTGACACAAAGAATTTTCAACTGCCAATGGAGTGTTACCTCATTAGGGCTAAGGTCCAAGCACGGTCTTATAGAAATGGGCTTTAAAAGATCCCCTTCAAGGAAGCAAATTGAAGACCAAGAGCCCACATGTATTGGAATGAGAGTCAAAGGCCAAAGCACAATTCTTTGTATATGGGTCAAACTCACTCTCATGCTTGGGAATTAATTCTCCTCCTCTTTTCTCTTTACACTTTTTTTTTCATCTTACTTTGTATTCTATTTTTATCATATTGTTTGAACGTGTTATTCGATTTATTGTTGAGAGGATCTTGAAGAATCACACCAAAGACGTACTTCCCCTTGACAGACATTTGTTTAGTGGTTAGACTACTACCCTATAGAACAATCAGCTATTGCCTCACAAAGTAAGTAATTCATTACAGTGATAATGTATCACAGAATCCTGTCCCCCTTTTGACTTTGCATGGGAAGGGTTTGACCAATTTGGAAGGTGTAGAGGAGGATGGACATCCATTACTATATCAATATTCATAAATGTAAAGCTAAGCTACGTAGCTAGGCACAATCCCTAGGCCAACAGGGCAGTAGAGTGTGTGTTACATTTTAGGAGATACAGTGCGGTGTTTACATTTCTTTTCTCATGTGATGAGTTTAATTCAAGCAGCAGAAACAGCTAATGCAGGATGCTCACAGCATTGGGAGTTGGGAAAGAGGTTCAGGAAGATTAAGGTGCTTTCAGATAGGCATCCTCAGAGCATGCATTCAAAACCAGCCCCCAATTTCTGTGTGTGTTGACACCCACACACATATATATATATATATATATATATAATCTCACACTTTCAAATGAGTGTACATGTGATGGGTTTTGAACCCTAAAATTAATAGCAGTAGAATAAGATGAAGTAGGATAAGTTGTACTAAATCCAGAAACTGAACCTCCTACTCTGAGAACCAGAGCAGAGCCTAGTGTACAAACACTACTGCCACTTTGGAAATAGGATTTCTCCTCTCTGCCTGCCCACCAATAAGAAAATAAAAAAGGGGGGGTATAGAATGGAATATGTGTGTATTTTTTAATATACATATATGAGCTAGTATAATATATATATATATATATATATACATACACTTTTGTTTTAGTTGACCAGACACTATTCTACAAGTGTGGAGGAGAATCAAGTGCTATAAGCAGTCCCACATACATGCATTCATACATGTACATGTGTACGTACTTGCACTCTTCAAAGTGTTCATTTATCAATGAAAGTAACAAGTTGGCAGCTCATTATGTGGACATATTCACTCAAAAACTAATTCCAGTTTTCAAAAATTGTTCTGACATGTTAGTTTTTAATTGGATTTGACTTCTACCATGCTAACATAGACTGATATTTACTTTGTTTTTTTGCAAGAATTGACACTGTAATCATCAGGTTTGATTACACATTTTTGGACAACATGAAGTGAGAGGTGAGTTTGATAAATGAAGCCAATGGAGGGGATACGGGGGAAAGAATGAAATGAGATAGTTGATCTTCCCAAAGCATAAAGACCCTTTCACATGACTTCCTATTTGGTAGTATTGCTTTCTTATTGCATTAGCGGGAAACGTACAAATGCCATTTATGAAAGACTGCTATTGGCACTGGCAAAAGGGGAAAAACCAGCCAAAGTATGAAGAGATTTCTACTATTATTTATAATAAATGAGCTTGTGGGTGTATTTATCATTCATTCATCCACTCCATTCTTAAAACCAGCCAGTGTATCACATCCCAAGGTCTTGGAGCATGGAACATCTGACTTGGCTGTGTGTCAGCTCATAAACGGTTACCAAGCAAGAAGAAAGAAGAAAGAAGAAGAAGATTGTTGCATTTCCTGCAAGATAAATAAATAAATAAAAAACAACAACCAGGGTTCATTTATATTTTATATTTATCCATCTTAAATAGTGTTATGACTACTACCATGGTGATAAATAAGAGTGTTGATTTGATTATTTGTTTCTAGCAAACATGTACCAAGATGTTATCATCCTGGTCCTTTTTACAGTGCATGTTTCAGCAGCTCTCATGCACAACAGATGATGATTTTTGAGGGATGGGGGAGGAGAGTTTGGTTGGACAGCTCTCCACATGGAAATGTAATGGCCAATGGGGCAATGCAAAACGACACAGGAGGCCTTCATATACCCCCCCCCCTACTTTTCTTTTTTCTTCTATTACAATTGCCTGTGGTGGAGTGGTTTTTGCAGACACTAGCTGGCTGTGCATATTTGGCACCAGGTTTGGAAATCATGGCCTCCAAGAGCCTACCTGGCTGGCAACAAGGTCTTGTACTATGTGGCCATGACCCAAAGCTCCATCATTCAAGAGTAGAGCTGAATCCACCCTAAGCATATTCGTGCACAGTAACCCCTACAACACATTGAAGGAAGTAAACCTCACCTACTTGGACACTCTGCCTGTTGTTTTTTCTTTGAACCCATGCTAACAGAATTGGAAATGAGCACACTCCCAAGGGGTGTTATTTTTACCACCATTCCTTTTGTTGTGAGCTTGTGTCTCAAATCACACTGCCATGCTTAGAATCCCAGACCTGCAGCTCAATGATCCCACAGCATTGATCTTAGCACAGACAATGTGCATCAAGCTTCGGAGGCCATTAGGGCTTAGTCAGAGGGTTTGATGATGGGGTCTGCTGGAGGAGTAAAAGATGCACTTTGCTTGGTTGAGCTACTACACCATGAGCTACACATAACACTCCACACACACACACACAGCAAAGAATTCGGTGTGTGTATGTGTTTCTGACACCTGGTTTGCATCATTGACAGGGAACCCACAAACAGTGCAGTGTTGACATGTGGGTGCAGGGAAGAAACTTGCTGACCACCCCATATTTTATGAAAGGTAAAGGGAGGGTGGAGAGGGGGGCAAAGGCTTGAACCCCCCACCCCCTGTGGCCATGGGCAAGGGGGGGTACTTTGTCCAATTCAGCGGAGCATGTCAAATCAAACAATACAGGAAAACATTCTCCAAAGCAGCCTGTGTGAATAGGCTATACAAAAGTTAAAGGGTGAGGGGAGGGGGGGGGGGAGTGGCACCCCTTCCATGCAAAGTTGATATAGATGCTACTTCTATCCCAAAGAATCACATCAAGTAAAGCTCCAGGACTTTATTTGTTTGTATCAGTGTTAGGTGCTCATGACCCCACCAATAATGCCCACAGCCCCTTAGGGGAATATTCACACCCTGTTTTATCCTAGCAAATGCTTCAGGATAATATTGACACTAGCAGATGCTGTCAAAACAAATCACCTCTCACAGTAGCAAATATATATATATATATATATATATATGTATGCGTGAGTGTGTGCGCGTAGTTAACTTAAAATCGTCAGCTCACGGTGACTCATTCACTCCCACGAGTAGCCCTGCAAACTAATTCAAACTTGTTTTGGCAACTGTGTAAAGCTGCAAAATTTGGATGTCGGAGTGGGTCTGGAGTGAAGGACTCTGGACGCGGTGTATATATGTGAAGAGGTAGTCAGATCGATAGTTAGAAAGGTGTGTGAGTGCGTGTAAAATTTTTAACGCAGTGAGGGGGTGTCAATCTGATCTGGAGGGAGGGAGGGAGAAAGAGAGAGAGAGAGAGAGAGAGAGAGAGAGGGGCGTTGGATATGGCGTGTGTCCCTGCCCCCCAGCTCGAGAGTCATTGAATATGTGTTTTGGTTTTTATGTGTACGTTTCAACGCTTCATTACTGCGCTTTGCCAGGACCTCTTAGTGCTGTTGTTGTACTGTTGTAGCCCACAAGCTTCCGCCACGATTGCTTGCAGCCAATCACTCCTGCCTTGGCCTCAATTCATTCATGCGTTGTGCAGCTCTAGACTTTGTGCTGATGACAACCATTTCACGTTGTTTCCAAGACATGCCATGAATTTTCACGATTCTGCACGCCGAGCAAGCGAAAGGAAGGAGAACTCAAGCTCCTTGTGCTCGAGGTTGGTAAGTTTTTTTAAAAATTCTTTTTCCTTGTCTAGTTTCCGACACGGTGCTTCGCAAGGAGATCGTTGACGAGGAGCTTTAGAAGCTGCATTTTTTGAAAGAAAGAAAAGAGCGGAATCGAAAATTCTCCTTCTTTCAGGGTTTGTGTTTTGGCGCGTTGTTGTGCATGATTGGAGTTGTCTTTGATACGAGCTCTTAAAACTTAGTGTGGCACCAATGTGGCTTCACTGGAGTGAGAAACGTGTCTGTATTTTGTATTTCTGTGCATGAGATGGGAATATGTGACGGTTTTTGGATTGTGATCCACGGACCCCACCTTAGTAGACGACGTAAACGGTGGTTCTTAACAATCGTTCACCTTGAGAGCTAGATTCGACAAAAGCTGTAGGATGGGGAGGATCCTAGTGTTGTGGAAGGGTTCTTGAGTACCTAAGAATCCTGTAGTTAGCCATAGAATTTTCAAATTGAGCACACCTTCTCGGCCTTTGAGATTAATTGGCAAAAACAGTCTTCTATATTTTTTCTGTCACCCAAAGTCGGATCACTGGTTATGATTTGTTAGCACTACATGCAAACCCTGTTGATCAGTGCTCAACAGATAATGGATCCCATCAGAGCATCCCAAACAGTGTTCGAGACCCTGCATTCATCGCAACGCTTAACTTTCTGCATTAGTCTAAAAAATTGGTTATCGTTTAGTGAGAAAGTGACCAGGTGTTTTAGGGAAGAAGCAAAACACAGAACGTTACATTGTGTAGTGCGATTGCTAGATACTGTGTGGCGGATTTCCATGCTTCAGAGTGCATCATCGGCTCTCTGCAGACCCTTTCGTCGATCGTTAGTCGTGGAGCAGAGTCTCCTCACTAGTGTGTTGTGTGATCCAGTTTGAGTGGACACCATCTCTTCTTGATTCGACTAATTCGACCTGATGCAGTTCACTTAGAAACCGGTCATTTATTCTTATCGTGGATGCGACAGTATTGATATTCTGATGGTCCTTCCTTATTCTGGTCTTTTAGGCTCGACATCAAGCTCTACAAGCCTAGAAACGTTAGCTAGTGGCCATTTCGTATCCAGCAACACCCATGGGAGTGCCTCTCTTGTGTAATTTCGTTGTGTTTCGCCGTTTTTATCTCATATTGGAGAAATTGGGAGATTAGAACATTGGGTGTGTATATAGTTTGCGCATTAAGGTTGATACCTTCTTTTCCTTTTCACTCGGAGGCCATGGATAGTCTTTCTACGAATGTTTCAGCAAAATGTGGTTCAGTGTTACATACGTCTTCCTCACTACAGTCAATTGCTGTGTATTTTCCTCCTCACATTCCATTCCAATAAGTTTAAACAGTGTAATGAGGTTTTACGTCGAGAGTCTCATTATGATCTTGCGGAATTTGCTGTTGGATTTCTATCTCGAACCACAGTGGAAATCGCCTAGACATAGATTATTTAGATTTACGTGGGCTGCAGTAGGATAACGAATTCCTTCAGTCCCCACCGGCCTCGTCCTGAAAATGTTCTGTCATTTTTTAAGCAAGATCGTAATTAGAATTTATGCGCACAATCGGACGTGTTCAAGGGCAACTTAAGTGTACCAGAGATTCAGCTATGGTACATGCAGTTTGTTGATTTCTAGTCATTCCTAAGACAGATTCATGCAGGGCAGATATATAGATTCATTGCTATGATGTCCATAGTTTCACAACTGACCATCTTGATTGAGAGCTAGCCAATCCCCAGAACCCTTTGAAAACCGTGAGAGAGGCTCAGATTTATCAGAATTCCACAACTAGCGCTCTTGCAGTTTCATCGAAAACTATCTTTCGATGTCGTCAAATTCCTGGTTGGAGAAATTGACTCTGAGGTGGCTAACATGCTTGATCTTCACAGTCCTGGCGACGATGCTTGCTATTGCCAAGTCATAATGTAAGCTTAATATGTTGATATTGAGGCGTGGTTCTCCTTTTTTCTAATATTCAGAATTGAGAGTGCTCAGTGTATCATGAATGCTGATGCTTTCTTATTGCTGGATATTACAGAAAAAAACGTTCCTATTTCTCATGTGCTTTCCCGAATTTTATCGTTGTTTCAGCTTGGATTGAATAATTTTTTCCCTCACTCGCAGGATCTAGGTACAGAAGGATTCAAATAAGATACTTTTGGTCGACTTAAGAAATGGAGAGGTCATCTGAGAAGGAGAGTTCAAGACGGAGTTGGCCCTGGAAAAGGAAGTCGAACGACAAAACATTAGTTCCTCAGGACTTAGGACCCTCTCCAGTACCATCTAAATCTTTTGATAATCACCAGGTGTGACATCTTTCAAGACAATGATGCTGACTAGGCTAGAAGGGGACCTTAACTCCGTTTGAATTTTCGGCAGTTAGGCTGCCAGTTCTTGTTTGCAACTTCTTAAATGACGGTGTACTTGAAATGATGCTAGTCTCTCAGCAATGGCAAATGATGGATTTCGAGATTATGGTGAAGCGCCTTTTAAATGTGATGGGCTTGATAATAATTCAGATATGGGAGTACCAGCAGCAAGACGTCCTTAGTCATCAACGGCAACTGTCTCCTATGAAAGCTAGAAGTCTGCAGGATCGCAACCGAATAGCTATTGATGAAACCAGAGGCCAGTGGCTGGAATCAGAAGAAAGAGCAAAAGTACTATCCGAGAAGCTATCCAATGCGCTAGCAGACATTACCTCAAAAGATAATCTTGTCAAGCAACATGTCAAAGTTGCTGAAGAAGCCGTCTCTGGTATGGTCCTCCACGAAAAATATAGGACAGTGTCATAACTTCTGTCACATATGTTTATTATTTCATCTATGACTCCAGATTATTACTCGCCTAGAATCTATTCGGAGACATCTGATGGAATTGGATTCAGAGCGGAACGTTAGCTCAGACTCGAGTGGAAGTAACCCTCGTTCTTCTTCACGCGTCAGCTTATACTTGTGATGGTTATAACATTATTGTCTGGTCGTTTTTAGGTTGGGAGAAGGCCGAAGCAGAAGCTGTAACATTAAAAGCACAGCTAGATGTCGCACTTCACCAGAAACTTGCGTCAGAGGATCGTGTAGCACACTTGGATGGTGCCTTGAAGGAGTGCATGAAGCAGCTGAGGCAAATGCGGGAGGACAATGAACAACATATGCACGACACTTTGTTAAAGAAAACACGAGAATTTGACAAACTTCGATTTGACATGGAAGCTAAGCTGGCGGATTCTTCTCAATGCTTGGCTCAGTCCCGATCAGAGCTCCTGGAATCAAGAGCTGAAGTGGCCGCGCTTGGAAAGGCCTTACAGGTAAGAGCTCCAGAATCTTTGCCGTGAAATCTCGACCTAGGATTACTAACGTCACAGCTCAAGAAATTTCACCTGCTAAACGTTAACAACGGCATGTTGCTGAAAATATCAGGAGCGTTCTCGCAGCATTGTGGAGATCAATGAAGCTAAAGGGAAAGCTGAAACTGAGATAAAAGTACTCCAGGTATGTACTTGAAAGTTTTGGCTAACATGAGGAATTACATCAGTGTACCATAATTTCGCTGAATTCCAGTATCATACACCAAGAACTTCGTCGAAACTTTTTTCTTGTGATGCGCTTGAATTCTCAGATTGGTCTGGTTCTGGGATGAAATGTAGGTAAGGTTGGAGACACTCGAAAAAGAAAACTCACAACTTAAGTATGAGGTACATGTGCTCAACAAAGAGCTTGATATTCGAAGCCAGGAGCGGGAATATGAGCGTAAGGCAGTGGATATGGCGTCCAAGCAACACCTTGAAAGTGTGAAGAAGATTGCCAAGCTTGAGGAAGAGTGCAATCGCCTTCGACTCTTAGTCCGCAAAAAGCTTCCAGGTAATGCTTCCCCTTTTCACGATTTATCAGTAAGGATGTTCCTTAATATTCTACCATTTATGCTGCAAAGAATTGGGTCTTTGCATGGCACCTTCCAATGGGTGTCCAACGGTTGGTAGATGCTTAGGATGTTTTAGGATGTTGACTTATTTAGAAACAGGGCATTTGATCAGGGGCATCATCATTTAGCTTATTTTAGTAATATCTGCAGGTCCAGCTGCGATTCAAAGAATGAGAATGGAAGTGGAGGGTGTATCTAAAGATCAAGGTGATAGGAGACGAAGGTCGATGAGCCGTTCTGGTAGCCAATTAGACCTTTCTGCTGCGACCGACGGCATGCAGGAAAATGGACATGATGGTCGCACGCATGAAGCCCAGATGTTAGCTGAGCGAGTGGTGGCCATGGACGAGGAGATGAAGATGCTAAAGGAAGCCCTTGCACAGAGGACTGCAGAGGCTCAATCTGCCCGTTTCATGTGCTCCAAAACCTCAGCCCATCTCTCAACTGTGGAGGAAGAACTCAAAAGGGCTAAACAGCAAAACGGTATAAATTCTCATTGGTTTTTAAAAATCTTCGATCTCCGCGTCTGTTAGTGCATTGTGCGAAGGTTAAGAGGTGGCATACTTTGTTCAACATGGATTTTCCTTTTTGTTTTGGGTAAGGTATCAGTATCCTCGGTAGCAAGCCTATGGTAGAATTGCACCCACAATTGAATGAAAGGGGCGAGAAGGTTGTTAGCCTCGTCCTTGTCAAAAGAGAACTTTAATTTATCGAATTGCAATGTGTGCAGACGCATCGAGCAAGCAATCCACTAACTTCAACCCGGAGTTTATAGGCAGGAAGGGTGGTTCATCGCTTGGCAAGTCTGATAATAGAAGAGAGTCTCAGAACTTTGAACTTATGGATGATTTTGCGGAGATGGAACGTCTTGCCATGAGCGTTACCTTGACTGAACCCCTGAGCAGCGTCCCCACACCTAAAACTCTACAGGACTTGGAAGAGGCCTTGGCATCGAAGACTCGGGAGCTGGAGTCGAAGTTTCAAGACTGTCGAGTGGCCGACCAAATGTGCCAGGATCTCAGGCTGAAGCTAAAGGATGCTGAAAAACAGCTCAATGCACTTCGATCCCACAATGCAAGCAATGAATCCTCAGTAGTGAATTTGCAGGAAGAGCTAGATCTGTTATCTCAATGCGAACGCGGAAAAAGTGGAAGGCATAGTCCAGCTCCAGCTAAAGGACTCTCAGGATATACCTTGAAAGACATTCTGGTGAGGGCTAAGACAAAGGAAAATGGAAAAACAACTTCTGAAGCTAGCTCTTCAGAAGGGATGATGAACGACGAGCAAGTCTCTATTTCAGATGCTGAGTCGAAGGTGAGAATTAAGAAAACTGTCAGGTTTTCATTGCTGACGGTCAGCCTCTCCTTACTCAAGGCGTCTCTTATTCCATGCATAATAAAGGTTCTTACATTTATTTTGGTCCGCAGGCAAGCACTGCTCACTTGGAGCTTTCGGTGGCAGTGCGAAAAATTGTACATGCTGTGGAAATGCTTGTTCAGGCAACTGGGTGCGATAACAATCCATCCTACAAGGATATGTCTAATTCTGCAACCAACGAAATATCACTTCAACTAGATTGGCAAAATCGTGAGTTGAATTCCATCATGCGCAATCTAGCGCATGCAAGTAATACATTTTTACAGGGGAAGTCCGACTTTGTTGATTTTGTGGTGGAGTTGGCGGCAGTCCTGGATTATGTTTTGACCCTTAGGCCTTTTGGAAGCTCTGCTTGGGAGAAAGTTGAAAGCTCGCGAGAATCGGTTAGCAAGGATCTGAAGTTCATGCGAGAACAGTGTGCAAATTTCGATGCGGAACTTGATCGTCTAAGATCAGAAAAAGCTGACATTGCTTCCCAGTTGGAGAAGGCAGTTGAACAACTTCAATTTTTCAGGACGGAACATCAGGACGGCAAACCGATGATGACACATGGAGTTTCACAAACTCAGGTACACGAGATTGTATTCTTGCATAGTTCATGAAATCAGCAGCCGAGTAGAGGTTCTGGTTCAGAATGAACCTTCTGAATGCTCACGAGGGAAAGGGAACTAGTGTTTGGATTCAAGTCTTCAATAACTGGGTGCAATATCATTTGAAAAAAGAAGATTTCTCTTTTCCCCTCAAAGAAAACGTGGATTTTGTGGCAGTATGGTGACGATTCCCCAATTGCTAAATGTCGGAAGGAGGAGGACACAAGTGAAGAAGAGTTCTTGGTCCTGTCATCTCCGAACCCTGCACTCCGAGCTGCAAGTGGAGAGCTCACGAGGTTAAGGGATAGAGTGGCTGAATTGGAGAAGGAGCTACAGGGTGAACGACAGCGACACCAAGGGGTGGCTGCCAAGCTAGGAGACCTACAAAGTCCGGTGCTAAGGTATATCTCGCTGAAGTCTTGCTGCAGTCTTGCTGCACCAGTCGTGATTCTGGAAGTTATTTACGCGAGGAAAGTAAGTTTGATACATCTCAACACCTTGCAATGTTTTTAGGCAATATGATACCCTTTCTGCACGATACTTTTCGTGACGAGAACATTCTCCCTCTTGGAACTTTTGTAGGGCTGATAATGTCGCCGTTAGTGGTGAAATGTCCCCCGGGTCACACGGAGACTTATCGGGTCATTCGACTTCTGAAGAAGATGAAGATGACAACTCTGAGAAGGTACTGTACTTATGCACTAGTGCTGGCAATGACATGCATATGATCTATGTAAATATTGAAAGTGACTCTCGACTTCCAAAATTGGAACTGGGTGAAATTTTGTTAAGTCTGCAATTAACGCGCATACGACGGTGTGATTTATTGCTCAAGTCTCCGTTGCCGATTGCTTTGATGGTCTTTAATTTCAGATTTATCCTCATTTTTGCAGAAAATTAATAGTATTTCCATTAACCGTGAGCGACAAGAGCGAGAGATCCAAGCAGCAGCACTAGCTGAGTGCCAGAGAACCATTCTTGCTCTGGGAAAGCAGCTTAAGAGCTTGGGGACAGTTTCCCAGGGCCAGGAAGAAAGAGAGATCTCTCCCAACTCCACAAATTCTTCCACATCCATCGAAAAAATGACTGAAAACATGGAACTTCTAAGGTGGCAGACGGAAGCAGTGCCGGACGTCGTTGAAAATCTTTCCACCAACCCAGCTAGCACTTATCAACTTACCACGGTTGGCCAACGGGAGCCTGGAAACCAGTGGGTCAGCCCCAGCCCATGTCGAGCTCAACGCAGTCCAAGCCCTGCTGCAGCTCGACGACTTCCTTCTACTAACGTAACATACTCATCGACACAAAACGACTCCAGCTTCTACAGTCGTGGAGAGGGCGGACACACAACTCCTAGAGCTCCCTCGCCGGCTCGGTCAGAGTTGAATCTGCCAAGACCAGGCTCTGTGCCAGCCTCCCCTTCCCGATCTCCTGCAACAACTCCTTGGTCCTTGAGATCTCGAACCAAGGAGGCACAGGGCGACGCTCAACTAGAGGATGTTCCAGTGGAGAAGCCACGAAGTAGCTCCACCTTCAGTCGATTTTACTCAAGGACCAGAAGTGGAAGTATAAGCGGATCAATTGGATAACCTGCCACAATCCAGCAGAATTCTCAACATAAAGATTCACACTCTCTGATCAACAACGTTCATGGCTCAAGAGCTGAGAACTGCAGGCAGATGTTCGCATTCGATCACGAGGTACCAACAGTCGCACATTGATTGAATCACAGGACAGAATGAATGACTGCAATCTTCGGATTGCACACAACAGTTTGTCTAATTGTAAAGTCTTTACAGTTCTAGTTTAGTCTGAGTGGAAGTTGATAGTAGCATCTGGAATACCTCTACACTTCGACATTCCATGGCGTTGCACTAGATTTTTGCGCTTGCGCTCAGCCTCTGCAAACTTATGCTGAAACAGGCTGCACTTCAAGGAACTTTTTCTTGTGCTGTAGCTAGCAGGTAATTCCATTTGGTAGTGTGCCAGCCCAACTTAGGTGTTTTCTAAAATGAACACATAATATGGTTATCATTTTCTGATAGTTTTTTTTTTCTTCTAAAGTCCTCTTTGAAACTTCGAAAATTTCAACTACCAGTTTCGAACAGTATGTGAATTAGCAATGGTGTTGGCAATAGGTCATTGCATTAAACACCGGAAACTTTTGATATCCAGTACCTAGTAATTTAAAATCCAAATGCAGATCAATAAAATATTTCTCTGTGTTCATGCATTTAGTGTGCAAATTTAACCATGTTTAGTTTAGATGCTATCCTCGTCACTTCCTTATCCTGGTTTGATGTTTACTTGTGAAGTTCTGGGTGTTTCATGTTATCTAGTTCTCGGATTTTTTTACTTTTTAACACATCCAACGTCAACATTGTGTTTTTTCAATACAGCTGTATTACTAAAAAATCACAATTGTCTTGAATTTGTTGTGTTTGTGAAATATTTTAGAGCCTTGGCATTAGCCAAATATAGAACTTCAAAAAAATTGTCTATACAAGATCAAATGATTATATTATTCAATTGTAAATATAGATTGTTGTCTCATTAATCTTTATAATTTTTTTTTTGTAATAAAAATATAAATACTAGATTTGAATTTGAATACTAAGTTTCTTCAAATCCTATCTTCATATTTTATGCTTACTAATTCTAATAACAAAATAAAAAGAAAGCTAATATTAAAAAGTTATTCGTTTATTCCAATTTGACTTCAAGACTTTACATTGTTCATGTTATTTGGAACCTTTTTAAAATGTAAAACATATGATTTAAACCACATAGTATTCTTCTTTAAATTCAAACAATTGTAATTAGAATAAAAATAATTAACAATAACATATATATAATAATAGATAATTTTTATTTGATTTGAAAGGTTGTTTAAATAAGTGCACTTATAACATGACTTAAAAGACAACTGTAATATTTTATAACGACTAAAAATAACTCTTCATCTATACTTTTTCAGTGGGCAATAGCATGTAGAATATTTAAAACATTTTTAGATATTTCATGGTACATTAATAAATTAACGAATGCATGTTTATGAAATCTCATACAATTAGGAAATAATAACACTGAAAAAACCACCCTGATTTCCAAACAAAAAACCCATCAAAGAACAGCTATCACAAAATTATTTATAGTCAATATTGTAGAATTGGAGAAAAAGAGCAGAAAAGAAAAGAACAGAAAAGAGAGAACGAGAGCGATGAAACCACTACTTCATCCATCCACCCACCCATCCATCTATCCATGGTAAATTTCGTGCTCAGTGACGGGCAGTGTATTGGAAGTGCAGGACCGGGCAGCGGGCAGGGTCGCGGCGTGGGCGAGGCGCGTCGGGGCCCAGGCTCTGGCCAACAGCGTCGTCGCTGGTCAAAATGCCGTCGCATCACATTGCGAGAACGGCTGTAGCAGGTTTGTCTTAGTGCGCAGACCTGGCTGCGATCCTTTTGGATTTGCTGTCACGGGGTGCCAGCCAATTCGCGCTCTCCTCAGTCACAACTGATGGGTACCACGGAGACGCCGAGGAGGCTGGTACGACTTGTCTCGGGTCACTCAAGCTCGTTTCCATCCTGTGTGGCAACTCATCCCCACCCCCTCTGCCGGGGCCATTATTGTCCTTGCTACCTTTGTTTCCTTCCTTCCTTCCCTCACTCATCCCTTCTTCCACTCTATCGTGGAATTGATCACCGCACCCGTCGCCAATCCCTTCTTGTGATAAGGAGTTCTCGTTGCATTTGTAGGTAGCTCTGAGTGCAGCATGAAGATGGCCACCGTTGTCATCGTGGGACCTGTGTGAGGCTTTTCTGTCGTCATTGTAGGACTCTGTAACGTGTTGCAAGATTTTGGGTCGCGACTTCGAACGAGGGATGCAGTTTATCGTGGTATTTTGAGATGCTGGGGAAATCGCTCCAAATCTATTGGAATGTGTGAAATGGAGTAGCCCAGTAGAATGGCCAGTGTGCGATATCTTCCCAATACATTGGATGCGGCCTGAGGTCTAGATCATCCAAGAAATAGGAACAAGAACCTGCCGGCTTGATTCTTGAGCTTGTGATACAAAGGTTGGTTGGAACGGTCTGGAGATGACAAGAGGGAATTGCCAAATCTTCTGAGATGTGCGTCGCAGGCTTACTATTTGATTTGCTCGAATATCTGTTAGCGTGGGACTTCAACTTCTTTGCAGTATTGATCTAATGTCGGTTGAGTGCTGAATGCTTCTCGATTGAAACATGACAAAATGCTGGCAAACTATGTTGCACTGTGAGACCTCCTGGCAAGGCCGCTTCCTGACGGCAGCATGGGCTCCATTAAAGCTAAACTTGATATCGGGTATATTAGTGCGAAGCAGACCAAGGCCGTCCTTCAGTGATTCCATTTCCTTCTCTTCATGGTAGATGAATGGATGCGGCATGTATTGATTCTGGCTACTTTGATCCTCCTGATCCCTCTCATGCCGGTCCTGCCGCTGCCACCACCCCCATGGGTGCTCATGCTGCTGCCGATCCTCGTCTTCGGGGCTCTCGTGGCGCAGGCTCTGTTTCATACTGAAGTTCATGTAATCTACGTTTTAGAGAAACAGTTGGAATCTACTTTGTTGGGACAAACAGCTGGAATCTACTTCGCCGAGACTTGGATCAGCTCAAAATAGCCACAAAGATGATGTCGGTATCAATTCCTCGAATTTCCTTTTTCCTCTGCCGTTTGGAAGTGGGGTTCAGCAAGCAGGAGACATGGACATATCAATGCACTGATCAAAAGATATCAAGAGTGATTCTAGCTCCCAATTTTTTTTTACCACAGACGATACCACCATTCAGACAAGGTGTTCACCATCAAATTATGGAATCCGCGAATTATTATTAGAACCTACTTCAAGTACTGAGGGGAGGTCCCTGATCATATCTCCCTCATCTCTTCCATTCTCGGGTATAATTCTACGTCCGAAATTCGTTGTATGTATTGTAGAAGATACCAGCTAGCTGCCCGAGAATGGTGTACCCACTTCGTTCAGATTGATCGCTTGCTTGCTTCCTGCTGCAGGTTAGAGTCCACTTCTGAATTTTTTTTGCCCTCGTTTCCACACGTTTTCTACCACCCTGTCAGTTGTAGAATTTTCATTCAAAGCTAAATTGAGGTTGAATCAGCTGACACTTCTTTAAAGCAAGGCCCAGGCTGTTCGAATCATTTCCCATAAGTGATCTCACATTCATCATTGGATTTCACGTACCACGACCAAACTCCGGACACAACAATTATTCACTGCTGTGGCAATGAACAAATCTTTTATTCAAAAAAATCTTTTTCTGTTCTCTCTTCTTTCTTCAATTCCTATCCTGTTCTCAGATTGGTTTCTGTTGCAGGGGCTCCTTCCCTCAGTTTTTGATTTCCAAGGTGGAGTCACTGGACGAAAACCATTACCCGTGTTTATTGTTGCAGGGCGATGCTGCAAATGTTTCTAGGCACCTGATCACAATTCAAAGTCACCATAACGACTATTTTCCCCAAATTTTAATCCACTTTAGATGGTGTATTGCATACATGAAAATCGAGACTTTTGAAACAAATCTGTTTAAATTCGGATGAAGCTGTTGCTGCATGTTAAGAGCAGTCCGGGTTTTAGTTTCAATTTTGATTACGGGAAGCATGCCACCTCGATATCACATGCAGCGCAGCGCGTTGTACATTCTTAGGAAAGGCTCACTCCATTTGGAAAGGTTAGAGACATCATTGTTTTACATCCCTAGGGATAAGAGCCCATCTTCCATTCATGTTCTACAATATCTGGTTTTTTTTAGTTATGTTAATGCGTTGTGTCCACGCATTCAGGATCAGAAAGTGTTTTGTAGCTTTGAGCTCCTCTCATGAGAAATTTCATGAGTATTGAAATGTGCCTCGACATTCCAAGCTCCACTGATGACAGCGTGTGGTTACCGAAGGCGAACATGTGGGGTTCCGCCTTTCACATCTGTACCCAGGAGAGATGCACTCTGCAATCAGCAAGGGTCAACCTGACATTGCAGATACGCAAGTAAAACTCACAAAGCCTCCCTTCGATTAGAAATTTAAATATTACCGTCATAGATTTTGCTATACTTCGTGATGGTTCTACTTTCTTTACATCACTCGTGTTCTCTTTCGACCTGCGGTTGGCCACTGAGGTAACCAATATCGTTGATGGAGCTTATGGGATTTGCGGAACTTGCCGACGAGAGCCTGATCTTCTCCTTCGGCGGATCTTCACCTCCATTTCTACCTCCTGATATAAATTCAGCCCAACTGCAAGGGCAGCAGAATGAAATCTAACACATATGGTTTTGTGTGTAATCTGACACCAGCAATTTCTCCACAGCCTACTGCCATTAAATTTTCGGAAGCACTCTTCCATGCCTTCTGATGCTCGCAAGAGGGAACGAATTTCTGATCAATCCCCCATTACTCAACCTCCAGCACAGGATCAAATCGCATAGGAAACAGAAAGCCTCCGCAAGCGTGCGAAGCCTTGAAGGCCTCCGTCCTTGTTCTCCAAGAGATCCTCTATCCCAAAGAACAGGGCTACTACCGCAGTTTCGACACCAGAGAAGAATCACCCAACTGAATTTCAAGCCTACTCAAAATTTGTCTCAGTTTTTTTTTTTTTTTTTTTTTTTTTTTTTTTTCTTTTCTTTATTCAGTTATCATCGAATATCAATTTTCCGCCATGTCTCTGAGCATTCGTGATATGCCACCATTGCTCGTCTCTGAACATTATCTGTGCAGTGTTTAGACAAATGAGAATGTCTTTACATGCTATATACAAAAACTTATATTGTAGTTGCGCAATTCTGGATTGGAGCAAAATTATCATACGCAGCTAATATGTATGAATATATACTAGATCTTACACCGCTACAGAGTAGGGCGCACTTTTAAGATGGCAGTTTAATGTCAAAACTAAACCATTTAAGTATGTTGTTGGTATTCGGGCCCCACCGGCAACTTTCTGTCACGGTAATTCTTCATGCTGCTATATGGGCACCCGTCCGGTTGCCGCACAATGTATATCTGATCGCCAACGGCTTCCTTATACATGTCCTGGTTCCGATGCCAGGTCCAGAGCGCGTGAGAGGAGTTCACCACCTCCAGAACTCCGTGACCAAAGCTGCTCTCCCGAAACGCGCTCCAATCGGGCTGCCGGTCCCAGCAAAACTTCCCCACAGCAGGCCCGAAAGTGAAATTAGAACGACACACTCCGCCATACTCGGGCACGTTATCCCCCGGCCCAGGACACAAACCCGAGTCGTCCGCGTGCGCCACATCCACTTCCTCAATATTGCCGCCGTCTCCGACCGTCACGTACACAGGTCCACAGGGATTCAACGTGTAATTATACACTTGATTTGTTCGCTCATACGCATGAACCTGCCAAAGTCACACACCCAAAAGGAATCGATCCTTCGAGACGTAAGAACAATGAGCCTTGTTGCATGTAAAACAGAGCTTACGATTTGCACAGAAGCTCGCACGAACAATTGCTTACATGACCCGAGAAGACGATGTTCACTTTGTAGGAGTAAAGCAACTCCTCCATTTCAAGTCTCATGCACTCGAACTCCCGGTAATGCGAGCTGTAGCTGTTGTACCACGGGGGGTGCCAGAGTGCAACCAACCACGGCGTGACACTACGATCCACACTCTCCAAGTCCCTTGCCAACCACGCATACTGCGCTCCCGTCATGTTGTAATCGACGTATCCTCCAAGCATGACGAAGTGAATGCCGCCAGCGTCGAACGAGTAATATAACTTGCTGTTCGAGCCACTCTCTTGAGATGGAACGGAGAATCGTGACTCGTACGCAACGAACGACTTCCCACCAGCTTGAGGCTCAATCTCGTGGTTGCCTTCGATCACCATCATCGGCACTTTTGATATCAATGGCTGCATAAACCTGCCCCAGTCGTCCCAGTGCGGCTGGTAAGTCTCCCGAGTGGGAGAATCCGGAAATGCACAGGAGTAGCAAGGGGCGCTCTCGCCGGTCGTCAAGTACTGATTCGCGTAGCTTAAGTCACCGATCATCAAGAGCAGCGAGGGGTCGTTCTGGATGATGTGGTCAAGCGTGGTGCTTGAGTTGTGCGTGAGGCCAAGGTCGCCAACGATTGCAATTCGCGCCGGGTACGCGCTAGGGCTTGGTAGCGGAAGTGTCGTGAAACTGTGCTCGGCACTGAAAGTGTCTGTGGCAGCATCCCCGCACTGGAAGTAATAACGCGTGTTGGGTTGCAGACCTGAACCACCCACACTCCATTGAGACATTAAGGTACTCGTGACCTAGTTCAAGGATCACTGCACGAGATGGTTGCGGGAAGAACCATTAGAAACGCGATACCAGGGACATCGCCCGAGGGATTACCACGTACCAGTAAGCCTGACGTGGTGGATGATTCCCGAGGTGTAGTTGCGAAGCCCAGGGAAGTTGTAGAGCTGCGAATACACCAGCGATGTTCCAGGGGGAGATTCAAACGTGTAAACGCCGGGTGCAAGACCGTAGCGCACCGTGCTGCCGACAGTCGAGGGGTCAAGCGGGGTCACTTGCGAGCCAATCTGAGCATCGCCTACAGCGTCACCATCAAAACACGACGTGACCAATTAGCGCCGTGACAACAACACTCTAGGTCACAGGCACCGCGAAGAAACATTGCAGCGATGGAGAAAAGGGGGCAATTACCGGTGACCCAAGAGACCCACATAGCATCCGGCGTCGAGAGCGCCAATGCGATCTGTTCGGGGGCATCTCCCACCACGGTCTTCGCCACGCGCGGGTCCGTGGGCAGCAAGTCGACGCTCCCTCGCCGCAGGGACGAATCAAACTCCACAGTCCGGGGCGTGAAAGGGCCATCGAGCGTGGTGGGAATCCGCTGACCAGCTCCAAACTGCGCCAAACCCAGCACGAGAAAACAAACATACCAGAGAGGCAGCACCGCGCCACAACCTCCACTCGCCATGGCTAGTATCCTCCGAGGTTCACCCACGCTCCGCGACGCCCATGAGCAGCGTCACCGCGGGGCAGGCCACAATTATGACCAGTGCAGTCCAGTGGGAATCATACGCGGGACCAGGCAACAATCCTGCTAATCACTCCAGGGATATGTGCGGCATATTCTCGACGCACTGAGGCACTGATTCCACGCAGTGCGAAGCAGCGCACCCTCTGTCCCCCTCGCCCCGCCCCTTGCTCCACCTGATCGACGCATCCCCTCATCGCCTCGCGACGCAGCTCTGCGTCGCTTGCCATCCTCAGTACTCTCACACTCTCACTAACTTTCTGACTCGCTGTGTTTAGTTGAGTGTTCTGTTGCTGTTGCGTTTGGGTTTGGGTTTCCATGGCCTGGTTTCCTTGGGAGGAGATTATTGGGTTGTGGAGTTTGCCTGCTTTGTTGCCTCTTGCTTTTATAATGTACACTGTGGGGGTGTGTGAATGTGTCTGTGAGCAATTTACTTGTGTTGATTTGTTGTTCATCTTTTGTTTTGAGTGTGGTTGATGTGGAGTTTTCTAGGACTGGGTGTTTATGTTTAGTTGATGATTGGGCTTAGCTTTGGATAGTTTAGATTTTTTCTTTGGGAAGAGACCACACAATTGGACAGGTGACAATGTGGCCCCTACTGGAAAAATTATCAAGTTCTGAGTTAGCTTTTGTAAAGCACTGAGTAAAGAATATTTGATGTATGTTTCAGGACAGTGTAACATACATCAAATTTGTTACTTTACAGGCATAAAATCTTTTACTTCAACTTGTTTGTAAGTTTTTGTTTTTAAAAAGGAGTAAGAAGTATACAACAGTTAAAAGAATAGATTTTTTAACTTATTTCTCATCAAATTAATCTTGAATATACTTTTTTCACAAGACATCTTCTGAATAGTTGTAAATTATCCAAGGAGAATATGCTCTAAAAAATGATGTAATGCTACAAGTATATAAAACATAAAAAAAATTTAAAATAAAAGACGAATGTTATGAGTTCAAAGAAAGTTGAGGTTTCTTTTAAAATTTTATGAAATTGTAAAAATTGTATTTGAAAATTTTAAAAACCTATTTTCAGTTTTTATAGTATTAATTTTTTATTTTTTATTTATTTATGTTTGAAAGAAAGCACATCAATTTCTCTTCATTCAAATTTTATATTCTATACCTCAATGTACATGGAAGATTCAAAATATAAATCAAAACAAAGCCCCATACTCTTAAAGGTGAAATTGGGTCAATGCACAACCTGATTATTCTTTTAGATATATAAATATATATATATATATATATATATATATATGTATATATATATATATATACGTATTTTAACCACTATGACTTCATTCAGTCACCATAATATGAATCATTTCTCGCATTCTGACTCATACAAAAGCTTTTAACATATTAGTTACTCTCATCTGCAGAAATTAGTGGCCATGCGACAAATAGCATGTGCATGCTTACTTGGAGACTTTGTTACGACAATAAACTGCTATCCTGCTGATTCTGTGTCAATAAGTTGTGCACATGTTGACGCAGAGTCGCAAAAAAACGGAAAATAAATAAATAAATAAATAAATAATAAAAAAAAAAAGAAAAAGAGACTGATCATTTTGGTTTTGTTGTTTTGGTGGACTGGCGAGGACCATTCTTACGTGCAAGCTTCTCTTCCCATTCATCCAAATTCACCACTAATTGTACCAGCTCACTGATGTGCTGCGCCTTCCCTTTAACTGCCACACCCCACAAAACAATTCACAACATGTCTTGCAAATTGACACCATTTAGCATGCTTACACAAGCAATATCTCATCGAATTGAGTTTCTAACAAGTATGTAGGAAATGCTTGTGAAGAGCCCGATTTGATATTTGCGGATAAATTGGCTAAAATGCATAGTACTCTTGAACGCTCTTTTCCCACACCCAGTCAAGGTACCAGGTACAGACCAGTTACCTTTCACTCTAAAGTGGTTCAAAACAAGAGTGGTTTTCATATTGCATTCAAGCAACTACATAAGAAAGTTATGCATAATGTGTAGGATTGAATACAAGATAACGCAAAATACAAAAGAACTCATCGATAAGTGATGTAAACAACTTCATGATGAGGAGTGGCTTACTCCAAGCTGGGTTGTGAACATGCTGAATAGGTGAGAACTCAGGCTCCTTCTCAGTAGTGTGGGTTGGAGCTTTCGGGTAACGTTTCAGGTGCCGGGGGTTGTCGTAATGGAACAAAGAGTATCTCATCCTAGGAACAGCTTGCTTCTTCCTTTTTGAGTTTGCAGCACCTCCTCCTGATTCTAAACCTGAGCTCGAGTCCCCGCGATCAATGCCCTCGGGCGAAGGGGAGGGTGGCAGCCCTTCCATAGTTTCCCCTTCAGTCTGTTCTTCCTCCTCTTCCTCGTCACTGTCGAACTTAGACCTTATAGTTTGTGGGGAAAGCGGACATCGGAGAGTACTTTGATACTGTAGCTGCTCCGCTCGTATCTGCTTCCGCAACTCTGACTCATCACAAGATCACAAATAAGAGCCCAACACTGAAGTCGATAGAAGTTTTGGGCGTTTGTGGTTTTCCTTGATTAATGGCAACTCGTCGTTGCATATCTCTGATAGAAATTCAGCAGGAGAACGAAGAAGATAAAGCTGAGAGGCATACTTTGATATCTGAGGCGTTCCATTTGGACTGCATACATCTTGCGCAATTGTCCTCGCATGTCGTCCTTGAGAAACTCGAGTTTTCGCCAACCCTCCAGCTCGAAAATCCGGGCGTCATGCCTCTGCACCCCCATCACCAATTCCGATTGATCAAACCCAATGAATTGCCCCAGAGTGGTTCACATCATTTCTTCTCATGGCATTTTCCATTTTCGCGGCGTTTGTTGCCGAAGGAAAAAAGAGACGACGCTATGCACAAGCACCGGAGTAAGGTCAACACTTCCAGAGAGACTAAGTACAGTTGGGTCCAGTTTTTGTAACCAAACGACTTTTGCATGTGAAGCTTCACAAATCATCTGAACCTGTATTAGGATCTTGAGAATCGCCTACGCATGTCAAGATACTGTTTGAGCTCTTTCATCACCTTCAGAAGCTCATCAAATTCGTAGTGTTTTGCAAGATCGTTAGACCGCGATGAGCGGCTTGCTTTGAAAAAGTCATGAGGATGGTTTCCCTACAGAAAAATAATCCTCTCATCGTCAGTGACGAGCAATTTGAAGCACCATAACCGTCGATCACCCCACCACTTCGGATCTCGTCTCATAAATCGAACCAAGGAATTGCTTATATGTGAAGACAGGATGAATTTGAGAGAAAAGCATATGCTGAAATTTCAAACATGCAACGCCGAATCCTCTGAAATGTATAAGCTAGAGCTAGTATTACAACTGAAGTGCATACAATAGTAAACTATGAAGGTCGTGTCTGGATGGAAAATAGATAGCATTTACGTACATAATGCCATGGCTTGAGTAACATGTCCAAGTCGTAACCGCAATAGTTTCCGGCTCTCAACTCCTTCTGGTCGACATACGGAATCTTCTTCCAAGCATTATCCAGCTCCTTCTGCTCGGCTGCTTGGTCTAGTGCTATCCTGGCTTCCATCTCTGCTGGGGACTCTGCTAGTGGCAATGAAATTTTGTCCAACTTAACAGGTTCCTTGGGCGGTTCCAGTATAGTTACTTTTTTCGGTGCCATAATGCCTACTCTTTCGATCCAAAACTGCCACCGACCCAATCGGCTCTATACGACACCCCAACCTCAATATAGTAGTCAGGGCATTCTCTTACGTTTTTGAAAACAAAGTGCCTGTGCTCACAATTGAAGGAAACGATAATAAGACGAGATGACAAAATGAAGATCCTGATTTGATATAATACATCAGATATGGTTCAATCTACCCCCATTACCTGCATTTTAATCACAGCCGCATACTTGCAATAGTGACCATGCCGAAGTAGCTGCTGTAGGATTGTAACAAATAAGTGAACCATCATGGACCTGATGATTCAGACAGTGAGGTCCAAACACTGAAGATGTTCCACAGTTCGCATTTTAGGGCTGAAGGAAGAGGACACTGGCTGGTTGTGATACAACTCGGCTTCGATGGATATTCGAAAGGTAGGGCAAAGTAGTTACGAACCAAAGCCTTCCATTTCGTAGGAAAAGACACATTGCATTAAATAGATGATAAGAGAATAGAGAAAAGAGCTTCCCAAAACGAGCAGTTAACTCACAGAAAAAGGGTCCCATAAATGTCAATACTTGGAAAGGTTCCACATGGCACCTATCTACTTGATTACGATAACTGTTAGTGTGTCTGTCAACTTTGCAGACAATATGGTAAGTCACCACAAGGAACAGCTGCTGAGCACGATGACGGTACCATAACATGCAGGCAGTAGAGAAAGAAGAAGTTTAAGATTGGCGCAAATAGGACAGCTATTGTGTTGCCTTCCAACAGAACATACACTGCGAGGCTCGGTTCTTGTGAATAATGATTCATCTAAATGTGCTGAGGGTGCTACCAAAATATATCCTTGACACGAGAGATTGCCAAGACAATTCTATAGGGCATAGTCACATAATCATCTACTCGCCTCTAAGACGGTGACCTCATCTATTCTCAGTTCAGCATCTGTAGACTGTCCAAAAATTACCACGGAAAGTTGTACCTGCACAATACCACCCAAACAAAATTCAAGTTTTGATCTGAAATTATGTCTAAATGTAAATCGTCAATAACAGTTACAGGAATTAAAGTCAGTTTTGCAGCTAGCGTCATTGTTATGCAAGTATCTACAATATGATCAAAAAGTCGACGAAACCAAGATTTGCGAAACACTGAGTTAAAGGGCAATTACGGTCTCGTTCTCGTGGTCAACATAGTTGACAATGCCGGTGTGGTTGATGAACGGGCCGACATTGATTCGTATTAACGCACCCTTCTCTATGGTAGGGGGCGGCGGAGGCAAATTCTCTATCTGTGCCTTTAATTTAGCTTGCTTCTCTAATTTCTCTCTTTCATCTGCCTCTCTGTCTGCTTCTTCTTTCAACACCTTGAATTCAGCTTCCGCTTCCTCCATCTTCCGAAACAACTCTTCAATTTCAATAATTGATACTGCCGAGGGAATTATCATATCACTTACGCTGCACCGAAGGCAAAAGAACAAACACGAATTTTCGTCAATAACAAGCCTTCACGGTGGTTTACCATACGAACACATCTGCATAAAGGTGTAGGTAACAAGGACAGTCAAAACTTAGACCTGAACATTACCATCTTTTGACCGATATACATAGATTACCGCAATCTCACAAATCAAGAGCGTGGTGTGCAGCAAGCACCTTGTGCCTTGAGCCTTGGTCCCAAAAAAGTTGTATATTCGAAGGTTGCTTCTAATCATGTTGTAAACATCGCGATTCATTACACATCGAATCAGTAAACAGCCAGGGTAGAGCCGCACACGTGAATCAGAATATCTCCCACTCTTGAGCTTTCTAAAGGAAGGTATGGATGGCGTCAATACCTGGAGAAATACCCAACTGCAAGCATCAGACTCACACTTCGCAATTCCAAACTGAATACTGGAATACCCATCATTGGAGTGCAAATTTCTTACCTCGTACTTCATCCCAGGGAACATCTGAGCGAACTGAATATGCAATTGCTCAGCGGCTTCATGCTCAGCTTTCTTTGGAGTTGAGACCATATACCACACATAACCCTTTGAGGCCAGGCGATTAATGTCGAGAATCTGGTCCCATCCTTTCGGTGGTTTCTTCTTGACGTCCAGCTTGGTCTCCACCTGCTCCTTCCAAGACCCTTTCTCCTCTTTCAACGCCTCCCGTCTTTCATTCCGCAATTTTCTTCTCTCTTTGGGACTCAACTGGTCGACTGGTTTAACGTCCGACTCTGTCCCGATGAACCCACGTCAGCTATCTCCTATCCCTTCGTCATATTCCCAGTTAATTCAATGCGATTCACAAAATGAGCTTATACATTTGATAGTGCCCTCGCCTATGTGGACAACACATTGTGTCCAAGTCAACACACAAGTCTATCAAGCAACAACAGGCTAACAGAAGCTGGAACTTCGAAATGGTACTGGAACTACTGTTAAAAAAGAAAAGATTTTATAAAGCGGACAGTGATTGGATTTTCTAAGACATGATTGCATCAAAAGCATCCAAAAATTGTAGAAAAAGTAAAGTCTACAATAAAAATCATAAACCCTAAACCCCAATCAACCTTAAACGTTAGAGTACCTCCTAAATACGCAACAGGTCTACTCATGCAAGGTCAAGTTACAAGATGTTCGGGAGAGAGGTTTCAATAGGTCCACTGGTTCAGGATAACACACTCGGAAGGAGCTCACCTGCAGTTTTCCCGGGCAACTCACACACCACCACCCGAGTCCGAGTCTGCAATCCATTACATAGCTTTTGCAGAGTCTGGCTTCTGAATTTAGCGAGAGAATTGCAAATAGTGGAGTTGGAGGAGCTCAGCATTGATCTCTGGAATAGAGAAGACATGATAACGTAACTCTACTCGCACTCCGCACCCTCCCTCGCCCTTGACACAGCGCGACCACACGGTTAACGCAAAATTGCGAACCCAGCCAAGGAACAGAATTCATGCCCTCACTCCACGTCCGAGACCTTCAACGTCAAGAGCTCCCCTCAACGAACAAAACATGAGCTCTGCAAAAACAGAAAACATCCACATGCCTGAGAACCGAATTCCCTGAAATTCCAAGTAACAACAGTGGCAGTCTAATGCAACCAATTCCGCCACAATTCTTCTCTACACAACCTCCAGGAAAGGGAAAGATAACTGAGTCATCGCCACCTGAAGTCGCAAAAACATTCAGCAGAAGCGAGAGAAGAGAGAATTGAGCAGAGAAAAGGGGGTAATGCTGGAAAACTCACCTGCACCCCACTGCACTAAACACACAGAGAGAGTGCGGCAACTGTGCCATGAATGAGGTGCTCGCAACTCAACCCTCCCTCACTAGCTCACTCACGCTCAATCCGCTCTTCTTCACCGGAGCATCTTCTTGAGGGTTATCTGCTCCAAGTCGACTGATTTCCTAGATATACATGACGAATTTTTAGATTTCTTTAATCTACTCTTTTCTAGATTCCGGTGGTTACTGTGAAGCAATGTGTTCTCAGATTGGGAACGTTGTAATATTGCACTGGTCCAACATGATATTTGGTGCTATGTGATCAATGTAGATATGGATTTAAGCTAAAATTAAATTTTTGGTACATAAATTATACTGTATTATTATTATTTTTAAAAGAAATTAAGGTAAAATAACTCATTAATGCAAAAGTCATGTGTAGATTTATACCCAGCTCCAAAATTTATTAAAAGTTACTAAAAGTTATTATATCTTCTAAAAAATAAAAATATTTTTAAATAGCTGATCTTCGTAAGTTTCAGCAAGTGGATAAGAAAATATTAATAATAATCATCAACTCAAAGTAAATATATTTATTCTTATTCAGTCATTATACTATACCAAACTTCTAAATATGATCAGTTTAGATTCCTTCAATTTTGCTACTAAATGTTTTTTACAATAATAATTAAGAAAAGGTTTGCAGTTCATTTTCCTTACTTAAAGGTAATAAAATTACTTAAATTAGATATATATATATATATATATATATATATATATATTCCTATTTTTTTTATCTACCTACTATTATAAAATAATAATTTAAAATTAACTTTCTTAACATTTGGTATTAATTATATCAAAATGAAATTAGTATTCTTTTTAACAATTAATCCCTCAGAAACTAATAGTTTCTAATAATTAATTAAATTTTGGAAACTAACTCTATTTATGGTGCACAATTAATAACCTTAATTTTTAAATGACTATTTGATTTTTATTGACATTTATTAATTAACAGTGGTAATTAACAAAGACTACATGGCTGGAAAGGCCACGTGGTTATACATGATTGGTCAAGGCTAGGTTACATGGCTGCTAGGGTAGAAATAGGCACCCTAAAATATGGAGCCTGGGCAAGAATGATTTCTATCTTAACTTCAACACCTGCTTTGATTCATAACCTCTACTAACTTCTTTTTTTTTATAACAAATGATACTAATTGACAAGAAAACATCATGTGTGTGTGTGTATATGTATATATATATATATTCAATATAACATATTATTAATTGCTGATTTTATTCTTCAATTTTAAAAAATTTGAATTGTACTTAACAGTAGAATAACGTGCATATAGAGGGATTTTGTGTAATTGTGTGTAGGCAAACTATTAATGCAATGCACCACTGATAAAGTAATAATATAACTGTAAAACCACAGGTCTTTAAATAATACGTATAATTCAATCAATGCATAGCTAACTCTAGATTTTTTCAACAAATTTACATATTATCCTATGCATATTCATTTCATTGCACAATTTCACATTTCCCAAGCCTAGTGCAAAAGTTATGCAAAACTCTAACTCATTAATCTTTTCAAAACTTCTTTCATGTTGGTTAGGTTCTGATGACAAAATCTTTCATGCAAAATTCACAAGCATCAGTTTATAGTCTTTGCAACCATCACAGGCCTCATGCGGCTGATTCCCCGGAGCTGGCTTCACCTGAGTGACACAATGGAAATTCTCGATCTAATGCCTGATCATTCATCATCTTCACCCCAGCACCAACCTCACAGGTCTGTCAGTGTACCATTTGCTTTAATATGTGCTGATTCAGCATTGTGTTCCCAAATTTCTCTCGAGGATCAAACATCTTCAATTCATCTGACAACCGAAATTAAAGACCCATTTAGAAAAGCTTTGAAGATCGTATTGGTAGTAGTGACAAGAGACGAAGTATATTCATGCTTTACTGTTGTCGCAGGACAATAATCAAATACGTTTTCCATTGTGCAGGTAGATAGTAAGTCATCTCGAGCAAGACTCTCGAGTAAGTGAAGAAGGTGAGCCCTACCTGTGCGCATGGGGGTTGATGAATGGTGACTTCCGCGCATCTTTGGCTGCAAGAGGAAGCACAGATCACAGGTGATTAGGTACACTTAGATGAAGCCACTTTAAAGAAAAGGTAATTGAAAAGAGCATAAACGATGTAGCAATAGTCCTCGCACGCTTCCAAAGTTGAGGATGAAAGATGCAGATCCTCTCATGACATATCAAATGAGAACCCTATGCAGTAGCACCACGGATATCCAGAAGTTAAGTCGTGGCATACCCCAAAAAGCAGTGAAATATAACCAGTGAACTCGATCGGCTACGACTGAGGTCGGGCCTGACAAGGAATAACCTCTGGACGTTAATTCCTTAAGAAACCCATTTGTAGACATAAATCCTACTTGGAAAGAGAGTAGTGCTAGAGATATTCAAGCTTCAATCATTAGCTGTGTGACACTCCAGCTTTAGGGTAAAGGAATTATTCCTCCACTATAATCCAAAAGAACACGCGAGAGCTCTTTCTCAATCGATTAAACTACGTCAAGAACCGCAGTGCGAACAGAGTCCAAGAAAAGAAAGTACATACATTAGCTACATGCAGCACATTTTCCAGGAAAGGAAGACATTGCATGAGAAAAACATTAAAGGGGGAACAACGACAAATATTTTATAAAGCTCCAAGCAGAGAATTCAACCCCGAACACCGTAAAGATCGAATTCCAACGATCATGAGCCCGTTGCAGAAAAATGCAGGTTTGTACATAATACAGTCCACATGCATGTTGAAGAGTGTCGGACAGGAGAAAGAAACCAAGAAACTCGATGAAAAGAGGCCTTCACGGAAACCACGGACGAAGAAATTATGAAATCACATGTTGCAAAAAAAAACCTGGTGTTCGTCAGTGCATCGGACACAATGTCATGAGAAAGAATTAATGCCAGGCGTTCGCTACAAGGCAGAAGCTATGGAATCGAGAGCAAATAAGACTCACGGTCCAGTTTAGATGACACCCAGGTGACGAGGCCCAGGGTGAAGGCGAAGCCGAACACGAACGGCCAGTTCCTGGCGCCCTCCGAGAAGGCCACCTCTATAGCAGACCTTCCAACTATCTTTCTCGGCTGTGGCATGGTTGCAGAGCACGTCACTAACTCGGCCTGTGATGAGCTGCGAACGGATTGGCGCTAGAGCAAGACTCGAGCTTTACCAAGCTTCCCCTGAGCGTGACAATGGTGGCGGAGCTGCCATAATTTCTGGTTTTGAAGCAACGGTCTCTGGGAACCACTGGACGCCTGATTGGGAGCATGGGAACGGGAGAACCCTTCAGTCACCTTCCAGCGGCACATCGATTAACCAACTCCTCACTTCAATTCAATATTCTAAAAGATACCAGAACAGTGAATTGAAGTGAGGAAGATAACATTTTAACCTTAAATCTGGATGTCCCCTAGGGCTTCATGCTGCGCATTTTCAGTCTTAGCTTGCTATACGCTGTAGCTCGCCCGTCGCTGATACTTTGTTGAATACTACGTTAGCGCCACAGCAACTCTGAAGCAGTTGAAAAATGCAGCCACAATATGGAGACTTATGTAGCATACACAAGGAGGGTTATAAAGTTGACAACTCAAAAAATTGGTGGTACAAAGTGCTGATGAACCCTCAGTCGTGAACTTCTTTGGGGTTGCTGAAATCAATTAATTCTGCTAGCCCAATTTTGGCCAGGGAAAACTACAAAAATATCTAGGCAGTTGCTAACAACTGGCGACCTTCAGGAGAATCTGAGGCCCGGCCGAGCAGGACGGTCTCTTTCTCCACCTTTACCATGCCCGGTTTGCCGCCTTTCAACTTTTGAAGATATTTGGGACTTGTATACGACACTGGAACTTTGCCACTTCCTCGCGCCTGCCAGAATTCAATCATTTTTGCGTCCTTTTAAAGATTTACAACTACAAGGCTTGTGAAATATAATGCGATGCAACAGAAGCAGTGAAATGCTACTGCAACTGAGAAAAATAAAAAATTGGATTTGATGAAATCAGAATGCTGGTGACCATATCAATGATGGAAATAAAAGATCCTCAGCTTTGCATATAATTATAAAGACGATTGGCGTACCTTAGAAAAGTAGGCTGCAAGGTCAGCTGAAAACTGCAAATCCTCGTCTGTGGCAGTCTGTCCAGGCGGCACCCGCAGTACCGTCTGCCAATGAAAGAAGCATGCGAAAGCAGTGATCATTTTGAACGAAGTCATTGTGAGAATCAAAGTCGACTCTTCAGAATGGGATCACAGAAGAAATTGAAAATAAAATTGCGTGGAAGAAACAAGTGGTTTTTATCAGAGTGATTTCTGTCGTCTACATTGTTTGGCAGCAAGGAAGTAATAGATCATTGAACAAGTGTACGAAAGAGGAAGAGGTATACATGACTCCCAGGAATGTTTCGAGCGTGGAACCACAAATCATATTCAGTAGCCACACGGTTGGCCAGCACATCATTTTGCCGATTATTACGACCCACAAGAACTTCGTAGCCTGCAGTCAATCAAAAGTTCATTATAGTTGAGTCGCGTATGAATTAAGAGAGACAGTTTAGAGAAATCGAGAGTTCTGCTTGATGTTTCAAGCATACGCTGACGAAAAGCCCTGCCTGCCTTACCCTCAAGCTCTCAGAATTTTACATCTTTCAAATTTCAAAACATGTTATCAGTACTCGATGCAGGATATGCTCAACCTTCATGCTAGTATGCAACAAACTCAGGATGAAATGATAGATTCGATACTACGTGAAATCGTTCGGAGGATACAAATGACGCAAGTTGTTACACCATCCCAATTAAGCAGCCTAATCAACAGTCACAAAAAGAATCCAGATTTTACCTGAAGGTGAGGTAAACCGACGCATGTTTGCGGCGAAGTTGTCAAGGGGTGATGATTTTTTCTTACGCTTGCTTGAAGGAGGTGGAGTACCTACAACAGACCTGCATGTGTCAAATCATAGCGAGGAATTCAAGAAAGCTAGACCTGACTTAGACGAAGAAAGTCAACGCTGAAGCAAGACCCTAAAGCAGAATAGAGAAAATCTTCCTTCAGTCACCTGCTATGATGGGTTTTAAGTAGGCTCCTTCGACCAGCTCGTCCCGCACCTGTTCGTCACAGTACACAAAGGTATATTACAAGCGACTTAGCACCAACACACACCAGTCAGCATGCAATGGAAAGAGACTAAGTGACAATAATTAGCAAGGTACAGTGAAAAGCAGCGAGCTAATGAACCATACCTCTTCCAGGCTTCGCAAGTCAGTGGAACGTGTATACCGGTCCAGCTGCTGAAGAGAAACTTCTACCTGAGTACACCAACATCAGAGGTTTTGGCATTGAACAAACATACACTCGTGATCAACACCAACAAGAAAAATGGTGCTTACTCCAGAAAATTAACACACTCGAACCAAAGTTGACATTCTGAACTAAATCTAAGGCACCTGGCATTAATCTCTGTATAGTATCTTCATAGAATAAAAAACAAGCCCCGAACAAATCCAAAGTCAGTGAGAACATTTAGTGTTGAACCTGAGACAAATATGTGAGCTCATCCCTGGCTTCTGCCAGCAAGGGTGCAACAGCTTTCTCAGATTTCTTTAGCTTCTGACTGTTGCATCGATTGAAAGCGAGGATTAGATAATAAGCCATGCACCTAGAGACTAATGAAACATCTAACTTCAAAAAGCACCTTCCTTATCCGACAAGATATTACAAGTATGTGGAAGGAATAAAACATCGACAGAGAAAGTCTAAGGATAAAAGTTGTTTGTACGGTGTATCATTTGTGTATGTTCCTTACAAGATGGACAAAAAATGAATAAAAAAGTCAAAGCAAGGCTAAACCTGCGCTTATACAGTTTCTGAGCCGTAACGAGTGCAGTTTGACGTGGATCTAGAGCAATTGTAGTCGGTTCCTCTGTTTCAAAATCAGGTAGCTGAAGAATGCTAGTGTCAGACTTGAACCTTTACAAAGTTCATCTTTGAAAAAGTAAAGAATCCAATGCTACACTCGTCCCACAACCAAAAATCTAAGAATTAAAAAGGTTGCCAGAAATCGACACCAAGAGAAATCTATCTAGACTAGTATGATCAATAAAAAAATAGTAAATATACACTTCAGATAGTACAATACTCACAGTGATTGATAAAGCTCCAGGTTCGCACACATGCAAGTTGGCCATCAGAAGGTCTGCCATTTTGGAAATTTTACTGTATTCCATGGATGCTTTGATCTGGTCCTCGAACAGGTTAACCTGCACAAAGTGGTCACAATTACTATTGTATCCATAAGGCGCTCAACATAATGCTAAAGACCGATGGTATTCGCTGGCAGTGCACAATCAAAAACAACAAAAAAAGAGAAAGTGGGTCGGAGGGTGTATTTCTTCTTGTTAATGCATGATGGTTTGAATGATAGTCTACCGTGTTAAGCCAGTCCCAGAATTAACAGCATGCCATACCTTGGATTGCGCTTTTTTAGTGGCCGCGCTGACTTTCGCGACCAGCTGCTGTCGTAGCTGCATATAGTGAATTAAACCAATAAAATCAGCACAAGGAATCCATTCGATGAAAAGATAGTACAACACAAAGTATTCATCTCTGAGCATGACACGTTACTCCTTGCAAACTAGGACGAGCAAATTTATTTTCGAAGTTCGAGGTAGGAAGAGGAAAGTTAATTTGGGAACTAAACTACAATGTTCGATGAGCAGTATAATGCAAGAACCACTCCAAAGAAAGTTGAGAATGAATGACATAGGCTGTTACGTGCACTAGACGGTCTTAGAGTTGAAATATCAGACTAAAATGGAGGCAATGATATTTTTTATTTTTTTATTACACCTGCTGGAACTTTTCAGTCTCATAAACCCTGGTGTAATAATCATCCAGCATAGCGAGTATGCCAGTCGCCGCATCCTCAGAGTCTTGATCAGTAGAAAGTATGTATGGGCCATCTCCACCTAATACGCTATATGACCCTGTGCTCCTGCAAATATATTCACAACTTCAAATGCCCAATTTACATCATATCAAGCATACGTGCGACAATATTTAAATTGAGGAGACTATTTGATAGACAATGCAAAAGTAGCACGCAAACTTTTTGATGGAACACAGGCGTGCATTAAGTTAAATCTACTGTGCAAATCGCAGTGAACCACAGGTAGTCAAATTGCACAGCCTCACCTACAGCAATTGACTCAAATTTACAAGTACCATGATCAGCAACTTTATATTTGTTTTGCGCAAAACGAGTCCACAAAAACAAATAAATAATAAGAACAATCAAAACTTCCATTATTCACGGAAGACAGGGGCATAGGTACAGTGATAAAAAGGAAATTACCTAACGAGGCCCGGCTTGAAAGTTGATTCTTCCAAAACCCTAAGCCAATCTAACCATACGACATGCAGGGAAAACCATTCATCCTCAGTCATTGCTGCAGGATCCTGCCAAACACACATTAAAGACGGAACAAAGGAACAGTACCACAAGTTAAATCTACTACCTCTGTTCAAATGAGAAGCCAATTCGAATGAGCAAAGACTTCAGAAAGAGCTGCGTTATGCAGAATGTACCATCGAAGGGCTTAATCCACTCCGAGAGATAAGTTCTACCGCCAGTCCAGGGCCAACTCCACGAAATGCTTGAATCTGATTCAATGTAATCACACGTGAATTTTGTACGTAAGTCTTGAGTGTATTTGTAGAAAAAATAACCTAATCTCAAAGGATTTCAACTCAAACTCGGACAGTTATTGTTATTATGATCATTTACACAATTGTTAGTGTCAACTGGACACCTACCAAACTATTTTGAAGCTTGTCTTCTTGAGTAGCGCGCGTGATGAGTTTCCACTCCGCCATCCTACATGATAATACGCGATCAATACTGATGAAATCAACATAGATCAGTAGCTGATTGTCATAGACTATGAGTACATCCCACCCACTATTACACATCTTCAATTTATACTCTGGAATCACAGCTATGGACTTCACTTCGAGTTTTTGAGAAGAGTAAGAAACAAACCCCATCGAAATTGACGGAAAAGAACCTTGAGCTGCTGGGGGCATACGGTAAGTCCCTCCAACTTGTACCATTCTAACGCTCGTCATCTTTGATCCAACCTGTAATCAGAAGGACTACTTAAGCGACTGAAGATTGCCTTGGAATTCTCTGAGGGAGCTTAGAAGACACTGATAATCAGATGAAGGAAATTTCAAGGGTCGAATAGTTCTGCTACACAGGAATGGAAACAGCTGCATGAGTGTACAAGAAACAAATATACAATCTGACTGTGAAAGTATACCATGGTAAATCATACAAGATACTCGTCTTGCTTTACAATATTTTTTTAAAAGGCTGTGCAAAGCATTTTCCGACGATTTTAAAAGGAAGATTAGGCCCACCTGATACGCACATGCAAGGACTCCCATGTCTGCATTTGTTAGAAAAACATTGCTGTACCGTCCCATAATCTCCACAAATAAATGCTTAGATGGCGGATCAGATGGCCTAGCCCCAAGTCTCAATTCTATTACCCTCTCCAGTTCCTGTGGAATTCGCACCTGCACTGTCACCGGCATTCAGTATCTTGAGACATTAAAATTTGTGGTACCTTTCTCACTTCGTTTATTTCGTCGTTGAGTACCTAGCGTACGCTCAGAAAACTTCATTCACATCATTCATCATCGTACGAATTATGAATCTTTCAAGTTAAAGACACTAGGATAAAGATATTTCCTGGTCACTTTGGCCAAGAATATCTCACGCAAAAGAAGAGCAGAAACGGCCTAAGCTTTGCTATCCTATACATGTTATTTTCGTCAGACAAAAAACACACTTAATCATGAGACTATGCTTTCACGCAGATATCTAGAAATTTAGACCAAAGTAACTAACCTCTATAATTGCAAGGCCCTTGAGGAGGTGACGGAGCTGCTCTCCAAACGAGAAGGCTTCAGCTATTGAGGGAGCACCACCTGGTGGATCTCCAACACTGACGTGTGCACAAGCCGGGTTCCAGCACAAGCGTAACCAGCCTGATTCCTCAAGCGTGCGAATGGCAATCAAGAGCGTAAACCTATCTGGTTGCACTATTTTCTCCATTTTGGCAGGTGTCCACGTCGTTGACAACTCTGAGCATACAGCCTTCAGTACAGTGTAATCCATTGCCTGCACTGGTAACATATTATAAGGCAGTTGGAATATGTCTACCTCAATAAACCATGACCAACACAATCCCTGGAGGGCACAGACATAGCAGAAAAGTTTCCCTTCCGTTATCTGCATCACGTGTGCACGCTCCGTGATCTCGAAGACATCAATCTATGCTGCAAAGCTGAAGTTCATATTCAATTCAACACGAAAACTCTAAAATAGAACCTATCCATACCTTTCGCGCACACTCTCAGGGGAGAATGCCGCTTTGCACTCCTCACACTGCTGCCAAACCCATTTCCAGACAATTTCAGCTTTATAGGTGTCCATTGGCTGCTGAATGACAACAAACTCCATCGAATTTCGTCCGCAATGTGCCCTGTACACCGACGCTGAGCCCTCCGCGTCGTCAAGACTCTACTCAATCCTCCACAACCAATGCTACTCGGCTGCGCAAAGCAGCATGGCGACAATTCACAGGGATGCAAAAATCCCCGCGGGACTGGCATGGGCTTCACAAGAGACAACATCGCAGCGACGAACCGATTCAGGCTCCTCCTAACATGTCACAGAAATGCATAAAAGTCCTGCAATGCTCAGAATTGAGCCTCAAGGGTCACACGGTCGCTATGGCGGAGGGACTCCTCTCAAAGTGTAATATCACGATAAAAGCGATTCCGCCCTCAGAGCCAAACACCTTTCCATGAACATCACGCGAATAGCTATGTGTCGATGTCGCAGAATTCTTATGTTGTGTTTTAGGACATGTTGTAATACATTTTTGTGGTAATTTCTAAGAATTTATATATGTGTGTAGGTTTAAGTAGAGAGTTTCAACTACCGGTCTCTTTCAATTTCTTCCTTCTATCTTGTTTATTCAAATTTTCATATTTGCACAAATTACCAGAAACTTATGAACACTGAAAAAATTGAAGTCTTTTATATGGACAGTGAAGTTGTGCAACAAGGGGTGTGTGGTAGATTTAAATTTGAAATCCCACCTTCGGCATCTTCATCTTGCTACTCATAGTGTGTTACTTATGAACTAAATATAATATTTGAAGGTTTGTTTATAAATGCATTTTTTTTAGATATACTTATTATATAACAAAACGTTGTTGATATTTCATTGCAACCTTCTAATTGTAATTTAAAGTTAATACATATTGTTTTAATTTAAACTCTATTCAATTACTTAATTGTATTATGTACATTCGTAAAATCTAAAATTTTCTAGCCAAAATTTTAAATATGCAAGTCTTCTAAAATAGACATCATGTGTAAAATCCATGGTTTAAAGGCTTTGGGGTTCAAGGTTAGTTTTCCAAGTAAGAAACATGAATTGCTTTAAAAGTTATATATCATTTTTTAATAAATGAAAACAAGAACAAATGCTAGGAACAAAGATGAGAGGAGGGAGAGAGGGTCGAGATGGAGGACATGTGCTAGGAACAAGGAACGAAGTCAAGAGAGAGAGGTGTAATGATAGTTTTGATAGGTGGGTTGATTTAACATTTTTTTTTTTATTTTTATTATATGTTTCTTTAAAAAGTATTTAAGATCCATTCATTTAAACTTTGTTTTAGGAACATGTTAAATCAACCCCAACTTTTACTAAATTTATCCACCAATCAAAACCATCATAAAATTCTCTCCTCTCCTGTCCCATGTCTCCCTCCCTCGCACCCATCTCTCATTCCTTGTTGTATATCATTGTGAATAGCAATAATAACCTTGAATAGAGATTTTTTTTTTTTATAAAGTCGTTTTGTGACTAAAACATTGCTAATGTTGTATTGCAAACTTCTAATTGAAATTAAAAAAATTCACATCTTGTTCTAATTTCAACATTGTTGAATTACTTGATTGTATTTTGTATATCTATAGAATCTAAAATTTTATAATTGAAGTTTTAAATAAACAAGTCTTTTGAAATACACATTATGTATAAAATCCATGGTTGAAGGCTTAAGTAAAAGTTGAATTTTTTAGTAAGAAACATGAATTGCTTTAAAAGTTGTATATCATTTTCTAAAAAATGGAAATAGAAATGGAGTTAGGAACAAGGTCATGGAACAGGGATAGGGACTGGAGGTGGGAACAGAGACATGAGGTAAGAATGGGAGACAAGGAGGTGTAATGATGGTTTTGATAGGTGAGACTATTTTGTAAAAGCTAGGTTGATTTAACATTCCGCTTGTTACATGTGTACTTTATGAAATACTGGGTGAGAGTCGGAGAGGGAGGAGGGAGGCTAGGTTGAGGATGGGAGGAAGGGATTGTGTGTCGGAGTGAGGCGGGGCGACGTAGTGGACATGGGAGGGGAGGGGATTGGGAGCGCACCAACGATGAGATGAGGGAGAATGAATGAGACGAGGCGACGTAGTGGAAGGGATTGTGTGTCTGAGTGGGCGGGGCGACGTAGAGGACATGGGAGGGGAGGGAATTGGGAGCGCACCAACGATGAGATGAGGGAGAATGAATGAGACGAGGCGACGTAGTGGAAGGGATTGTGTGTCTGAGTGGGCGGGGCGACGTAGAGGACATGGGAGGGGAGGGAATTGGGAGCGCACCAACGATGAGATGAGGGAGAATGAATGAGACGAGGCGACGTAGTGGAAGGGATTGTGTGTCTGAGTGAGGTGGGGCGACGTAGTGGACATGGGAGGGGAGGGGATTGGGAGCGCACCAACGATGAGATGAGGGAGAATGAATGAGACGAGGCGACGTAGTAGAAGGGATTGTGTGTCTGAGTGAGGCGGGGCGACGTATTGGACATGGGAGGGGAGGGGATTGGGAGCGCACCAACGATGAGATGAGGGAGAATGAATGAGACGAGGCAACGTAGTGGAAGGGATTGTGTGTCGGAGTGAGGCGGGGCGATGTAGTGGACATGGGAGGGGAGGGGATTGGGAGCGCACCAACGATGAGATGAGGGAGAATGAATGAGACGAGGCGACGTAGTGGAAGGGATTGTGTGTCGGAGTGAGGCGGGGCGACGTAGTGGACATAAGAGGGGAGGGGATTGGGAGCACACCAACGATGAGATGAGGGAGAATGAATGAGACGAGGCGACGTAGTGGACATGGGAGGGGAGGGGATTGGGAGCGCACCAACGATGAGATGAGGGAGAATGAATGAGACGAGGCGACGTAGTGGAAGGGATTGTGTATTGGAGTGAGGCGGGGCGACGTAGTGGACATGGGAGGGGAGGGGATTGGGAGCACACCAACGATGAGATGAGGGAGAATGAATGAGACGAGGCGACATAGTGGACATGGGAGGGGAGGGGATTGGGAGCGCACCAACGATGAGATGAGGGAGAATGAATGAGACGAGGTAAGGTAGGTAGGTCGGAAGGAAGCAGTAGTAGTAAGTAGGGCTGGCTGTCCAAGGTAAAGGAGAGGATATTTAAGCATTGCCCACAACGAGATTAACTTAGAGACAACAACCCAACATCCAGTTTCAGTTATTGAAGGCAGGCAGGCAAGCCAAGGTTCGCCTTCTCAAACGTTTTGTCGTCACGCACGACGTCGACAGGACAAAAATGCGGAGGAGGCGCAAAAGAGTTCTTCTCACGATGAGTTCGGGGGTTTGAACCCGACGTGAATCGAACACGCAACCTTCTGATCTGGAGTCAGACGCGCTACCATTGCGCCACGGATCCGCGAGAGACGGTCGATGTTTCGGCAGGTACAATTAAAAATTTTATCTATCTTACCACATCCCTGGCCCCACCCGCCCCCCCACCCCCCCAATCAAAGAAGCCGTTTGACAAGGCTTCTTGACCTGGTGGGATGGAAGGCTCACAGCGTTTGACACTGAGAACTGCTACAACTCAAAAAAAAATTTATCTGTCATGCCGAGGTAATGTCTTGGGTTTTGGCGTGCCACTTGAGGCGAATTTTGACAGTGGCTCCGTTCTTACAACTGACGGCAAGACAACCTGGGAATGGTTGCATCTGGAATAAAAATAATGGACGCCATCTTACTCCTGAATATCATCTGACGTCCACAGATGAAACTGTGCATGATGTATCCCCCAGGCATTATCAACGGCACAGCTCCTTGAACTACAATAGGTGCTGTTGGCGTAGTGTTTTTTACTCCAAAGAACACTACTACCAAGTCCGAGACATACAAGACAGACGCTTTCAAGAGTTAAAAAATAAACATAAAAGCGCTGAATAATCAGAATCATAACAATCTGTGAGGTTGGCGTAGAAGAAAAAATTCAAATTTATAGAACAATATGCCCAGTGAAAGTAAAACGGATCAGCACAAAGTAGCGTCATCACAGAGACAGCAATGGAAAGCGAGGGCGGGACACACTGTGACACACTTGAGGATCAGATAGGGCTTTGCTTTAAGAAGAAGACTAGGCTGCACATGATCCTTGAACTGGCAGTCCACGCCTTTAAGTTCAATCTATATACCGATTAAACAACAAAACAAGATAGTATACGTTCGTCCTCGCTGGCATAGAATAAGCATTTAATTGGTGCATGTGGCTTGATTTAACGAATGAATCCAATTGACTTGATTAGGTTTTCGTGTGTCGTTTTCATCGATCTTGGCTTTCGTGCATCTTTAAAGGTCTACTTGTTGGGGTCGTTACGGTTGTTCTTGTGTTCGACCTTTCAGTCGTTGTTGTGTCTTTACACGAGTTCTGTTGATTGCGTTTGTGCCTTAGCTCGCACTTTGAACGTTTGGTTTTTCAGACTTTGATAAGCTATGGAAGAGGTAACGTCGATATTGAGGTCGAAGGTATCATTCCTGGTTTTGGTGCTCTTCTTTTTAACACGTTGTCAGTTCCAGATATTGTGAGAATGGAGATGATGGTTTCAGTAAAAGGTTTGAGCGGATTCGCGGTGGAAAACTAGTTGGGCTTGTTGACCACCAGTGGTGCTTGAGGATTATGGGCTGGAGGGGCACCCCGGGTACCTGCCAAAGATATGGCTTGACACCCTCGCTAGCCCCACCACACTATCTTGTTTTGTTGTTTAATCGGTATATAGATTGAACTTAAAGGCGTGGACTGCCAGTTCAAGGATCATGTGCAGCCTAGACTTCTTCTTAAAGCAAAGCCCTATCTGATCCTCAAGTGTGTCACAGTGTGTCCCGCCCTCGCTTTCCATTGCTGTCTCTGTGATGACGCTACTTTGTGCTGATCCGTTTTACTTTCACTGGGCATATTGTTCTATAAATTTGAATTTTTTCTTCTACGCCAACCTCACAGATTGTTATGATTCTGATTATTCAGCGCTTTTATGTTTATTTTTTAACTCTTGAAAGCGTCTGTCTTGTATGTCTCGGACTTGGTAGTAGTGTTCTTTGGAGTAAAAAACACTACGCCAACAGCACCTATTGTAGTTCAAGGAGCTGTGCCGTTGATAATGCCTGGGGGATACATCATGCACAGTTTCATCTGTGGACGTCAGATGATATTCAGGAGTAAGATGGCGTCCATTATTTTTATTCCAGATGCAACCATTCCCAGGTTGTCTTGCCGTCAGTTGTAAGAACGGAGCCACTGTCAAAATTCGCCTCAAGTGGCACGCCAAAACCCAAGACATTACCTCGGCATGACAGATAAATTTTTTTTTGAGTTGTAGCAGTTCTCAGTGTCAAACGCTGTGAGCCTTCCATCCCACCAGGTCAAGAAGCCTTGTCAAACGGCTTCTTTGATTGGGGGGGTGGGGGGGCGGGTGGGGCCAGGGATGTGGTAAGATAGATAAAATTTTTAATTGTACCTGCCGAAACATCGACCGTCTCTCGCGGATCCGTGGCGCAATGGTAGCGCGTCTGACTCCAGATCAGAAGGTTGCGTGTTCGATTCACGTCGGGTTCAAACCCCCGAACTCATCGTGAGAAGAACTCTTTTGCGCCTCCTCCGCATTTTTGTCCTGTCGACGTCGTGCGTGACGACAAAACGTTTGAGAAGGCGAACCTTGGCTTGCCTGCCTGCCTTCAATAACTGAAACTGGATGTTGGGTTGTTGTCTCTAAGTTAATCTCGTTGTGGGCAATGCTTAAATATCCTCTCCTTTACCTTGGACAGCCAGCCCTACTTACTACTACTGCTTCCTTCCGACCTACCTACCTTACCTCGTCTCATTCATTCTCCCTCATCTCATCGTTGGTGCGCTCCCAATCCCCTCCCCTCCCATGTCCACTACGTCGCCTCGTCTCATTCATTCTCCCTCATCTCATCGTTGGTGTACTCCCAATCCCCTCCCCTTCCATGTCCACTACGTCGCCCCGCCTCACTCCAATACACAATCCCTTCCACTACATCGCCTCCTCTCATTCATTCTCCCTCATCTCATCGTTGGTGTGCTCCCAATCCCCTCCCCTCCCATGTCCACTACATCGCCCCGCCTCACTCCGACACACAATCCCTTCCTCCCATCCTCAACCTAACCTCCTTCCTCCCATCCTCAACCTAACCTCCTTCCTCCCTCTCTCCGACTCTCCCCTCTGCAGGTCTCCGTTTCAAGTCATCGTCTGTGTTGGTGGAGGTAATTGGTGAAATGTCCCCTACAACTCTTACAGGACAGGTCTTTGTTTGACAGAAATTGTGTGTTCGTAACTTCCGATGAAGGTTGCAGTGTACGAAGAAACAATTGTGCCTTTATTTTGAGTGTTTCGTGGGACATTACACTGTTAGCGTGCATGTGAACGATAACAAATGTTATGGATTGAAGGGATTATTCAAGTCATAATCCAACTTATTTCCTTGATAAGGTTTTTAGAGTAGTTTTCTTCTACAGCAACCTGTACACTATTGAAACTCTAGCAGGAACGTACTTTCAGGCATTCTTGAAGGTTATAAAAATAAAGTCCAAATCTTCAAAATGAAGATAGTAAGTGAAATTTCGGACAATGGTGTATGATGTGATAATATTTCAGTTTGTGCAATGTGGAAAATCATGATATGCTGCTTAACTTATTTTCACTTAATGCAATAAAAATAAGCTACTTGGAATGAAGAGAAATCAACTATCTGTATGGTTAGCTAAAGATCTCAAACACAATGATCAACCCTCTCGTCCCGAAACGTAAAGCAGTGGAACTACAAAATTAGCCTCTCACAAAAATTGGCTCATGGGTCTGAAGAGGAGATTCAGGCTCTGAAACAGACCTACCTGTCGTTTAGGCCCATTTTCAACCCGAATCCGAAAGGGTACAGAGGATCGTAGTTCTGGTCGCCGACGTTCATGGGTAATTGGTCAACTCTCTTGAACCATGTTCTTGAGAGTTTTCCCTGGAAATCATATCGACCAAAGAGCATATCTGCAACTCCAGCACCTTCAGTGCCAGGAAGCCATGCGGCCACAAAGGCATCCATGTGGCTAACGATTGGCTCCACCACGAGCGGTCGGCCGGAGACCATCACCACGACACATTTTACGTACGAGCACGTGTCTTTGATCAACTCCTGGTATGAACTGGACAAGGTGAGGTTCATATTGTCCCCATACATTTCAGCATACGGCTCCTCACCGACAACCACTATCGCGTACTCATACCCCTTGTTCTTCGCAGCGCCTGTCCGGGGTTTGGCCAAGTGCACAACCTTAGAGTTTGCGCTTACGGATTGCTTGATGCCTTTCAAAATGGTCGTTCCTGTAAAATATTCGATCCCCGTCACGCGTTCGGTGAGTCAGTTCCTATAGATATCATCAGCGGATGAGACACTGAAGTATATGTATAGATAAAATAGGAGAAAAAATAGAACAGACGTGACATAATTGCTACCTTTTGTGATATTGTTTCCTGCTTGGCCTTGCCAGGTGATGGTCCAGCCCCCACACTGCAAGCCGAGGTCATCGGCATGAGCGCCAACAATGAGAATTTTCGTGGCGTTCTTATTTAAAGGCAAAAGAGACTGAGATCCCTTGCCATTCTTCAAAAGCACCAACGACTTGCGCACTGCTTCTCTTGCCAATGCTCTATGAGACTGCTCATTTTACCAAACGAAACCACAAATTAGGAGATTTAGTCGCAAAACACGTGGTATTATACACTAGTCAGAAAAACTTCATGAAAACACATCGGGACATACATCGGATTATCAACTTCTGTATTCTAGCTGACAATGAATTGCAGTTATACAAAGAGCTATTTACCGGTGCACCAAGGAATGATCTCAGGCTCTCGTCAGCATACGGCTTCTCGAAGAGACCCGTTTCAAACTTAACGCGTAGGATACGTTTCACAGCATCCTCGATTCTAGACATCGGAATCTGCTTGGCGGCGACCAGGTTTTTAACGACAGATATGAAGTCCGTGTAATTGTAGGGCACCATTACCTGTCATAGAAGTCAACGATGAATTGTATTTCAGGCAATTTTTTTAAGATGACCACACGCACAGAAAAACAGAAACTTGAGAGTTGGAACGTAAAAGTTAGAATTCTGAGATCATACTCAGATAGGTTAACGTTTAGTATGTTCGAAACCTAATGTTTAGGTTATCACAGAAAAGAAAACACTGAAGTAACGGGAAGTCACCATGTCAACGCCTGCATTAAGTGCAAGGTATGTGGCGAGCGTGTAATTGACGCCTGGAGGATCTGTGATCCGTTCCACAGCTTGCCAGTCGGAGATAATGAATCCCTTGAATCCCAATTGCCCTTTGAGCACATCGGTGAGTAAAAACCGATTCGCATGCATCTTTATACCGTTCCAGCTAGAGTAAGAGGCCATAACTGTGGATACTCCCTTTGCAATGGCATCGGGATATGCCTTCATATGAATATTTACAAGCCCATCATAGTCGATCACCGTGTTATTCTCATCGATTCCATTCGTAGTACCTCCATCGCCGACGAAATGTTTTGCACAGGCTGCCACCTTTCGACTGCAGACGAGGGACAATAATTCAAACAATGAAATGAAGACACTATATCAAACTGACTAACTGAAGAAGCTTAATGTTTATGTTAGAAAACCGATAACGGTGGAACCAATATTCCTCTACGTCTTTCACAAGAGATTCAAACAGATGTTTAGGTGAATGGAATAGTGTTGTGCCACCTGTTCTGCACATATGGACCCTCCCTGTCAGCTGGAGACCTCCCTTGTAACCCATCAATTATAGTTGTCATGCTTCTCACCACCTCTGGATCTTCGCTGTAGCTCTCATAACAGCGTCCCCACCGCGGATCCCGACAAACAGCAATGCAGGGTGCGAACACATATGGGATACCAGTGGCCCGAACCTCAAGAGCAGTGGCAGAACCGATTCTTTCCAAAAGGGCTGGATCTCTGGATAGAATGTGACAAGAAAGCATTGTAAGTTGTGAAGCCGACTACAACATCAATGTACACTGCCCGATGAACAACTAGCATACTGGATGGGAGATAATTGTGGTGCGCTAGAAGTGTTGGGTACCGCGTGCAGCCTAGCCCAATATTGTGAGGAAAAATTGTAGCTCCGTAGACGTTGTTGTGCCCATGGACTGCATCAATTCCATAAATCTCCGGAATTCCGAGCCTCGTTTTTAGAGCTAGCCTTTGGACGTAATCCGTCATGTTGGTCCACTGATGTACGGTTGCATTGGTCGCAGGGACACTTCCACCGCCACTCAAAACGCTGCCTACTCTCACAACACAACGTGATTGTTAATCAAATTTTTGAAATTTTGAGACATGCAGCAGGGGAGCAACAGTCAACGTACGAGATGTGTTCGTGAATACTGCTCCACAGCTTGCACATAATTTGCAAGAGCTGAATGGTAACACATTCTGGTCTACAAAAATCTAGGTGGTCGAGCACAATATAGCCTTTACGTTTATTGGCGACTTTCCAAGCACACTGACCTATGTAGTACTTCGAAACAGAAGATTCATTGCTGACAGTAATTTCTATTTGAGTCATCTGGCCGATCTTCTCATCGAGCGTCATGCGTCCGTACAGATCCGACACCCTCACAGCCACCGGTTGACTGGCGTCCTTATACAGGATTGGCTTCTCGTCATTGTCTGCTCTAACTTCTGCTATAGTACACGACTGAAGTACCACTGCTAGGACGCAGAGCACAACTCCACGAATACCCATGGCTCGATTGAGAAGAACCTGAAAACCAACAACACTTCCTTGAATACGGCGCGTTCACAGATATCCAACTACTAGGAAAAACTGAAACATTTGAAAAGGGACGACGTTAGCATGAAGCATGAAGTAATCACATAAGAAACAACTCGGGAAACAGCCGTTCTTACACGGCTCAACGACGAGACCACTCTCTCACATTGCTATCACGTCACGAGCACAAAGTCGACAAACCTGCTCCTACAGTGGTCAGAATCCAGGAAACGATGGCTGGAGCTTCAATCGTATCAGTATACACACGACAGCTCGCATGGTCGCAACATAGTCACAAGCTCAGAAGCTCCCTCCAACACCGCACCACCTATCGGCAAAACCGCATCCCAGACGCTGAACCACCAACGAACGCCAAGGAATCACAACCACTCGGGTTACACTATGGGAATTAGCAGAGAATGTCACACATATACGAGCAAGATTCGCAGCAACAATTCCAGTAACACCAAATTTGGGAACGGTCAGTTCCACCAACGTTTCCGCCGCCCGCATCTGACAGATCAATGCAGGATTCCTCCTCCAGGGCTTCTCTAGGGTGATACAGAATGGAGAAGTCAGGCATGTCCCTAGGGCAATTAATTGCTGCAGCGGCTACTTGGCAACGGAACCGAGGTCTGTCGCCTGGCAACACAGCATGCTCGAGGAAAGACGGGCAATAACTCGGACAAACGTGTCTCGGCAATTTGTACTGAAGCTCAGACTCCCGCCCTGTCATGAACGGCGGTGCAAGGATGGCGCCTAGATGGACAGCGGCACGATGGATGAATGAGTGGATAAAACCACAGATGGATGAACCACCACCTCAGATTGTACAAAGGCCGTTGAGATGTGACCGACCCATTGTTACGTACGTGAACAGTCATAGTTCCGTTCACACCGCTCAAGGGTTCTGGCATCGGAACGGCCAATTAGGGTTGCTCAGAGCTCAAGTGATAGTTCTCGTTTGGTTGATTGCCAATCTGCGTGGGCATGGTGTATCCATGCGTTTAGTGCCGTTCGTCTTCTATCGGTACGATGGGTTCCTTTTGGATGCTGCTCACGGTAGTGGCCAATTTTGTTGTTCACGTTTTCGGTTGAGCACATGTGGTTATGACATCTTGGTGGCTTTGCATAGGTGTACTGCGTTACAGTGACAATCAAGTTTCTGAGTAGTCCTTCACCGTCCAGTTCAGGAGCGAGTGAAGTATCTTCTTGGTCACGTCATTCTTGAGGAGAAAATTAAGCGATCGACGCAAATCATGACAAGCGTCGCTAAACTGAGGATCACTGCTAATTACATGATGGATCAGTCACAGCTTTGGCCACCACTGGAAGTATTCCTCGTAAATCGTAGGAGATTACTTTTCAGGGTTGCACGTTGACATAGGTTACGACATTCAGACAGCTGCAACTTCCCGATTATCCCTCTTATGAGGCATTGTTGCTGAGACTGGTAGCTAATCACTTCCTCTTGTATAATGCTTGGGAGGTGGTTCAACGACGCAGACATTGATGAGATTCAGAGATTGTGGATTTTCTTACATCTCTCGTCCGATCACGGTTTGATCGACGCTCTGATGGTGGGATGATTGTTCTGTATAAATATCCACGATGAACAGCAGTAGTTGCTGTTCCCCATATTCGCTGAAACCAGCCAATCTTATCTTTGGATGTCAGTTTGTAGGGCAATTGGAGTTCAAGAATGTAGCCGCATGGCGTTGCCATTGTGCGTGAGCATGTTCGTTAAGAGGTTACAATGAACTTACACGGTAGTGGGACCTCGCCCAGTATTATTCATTTCTAATGCAAACCTGCTTCAGGATTCAGCTCAGTTGATCAGCAAGCCAGGTGAACTTCAATTGTTGCCTTTGGCAACATACAGTACAACCACCAGATAGTCAAGATGTTCTATCCCGTCGCTCTTCCACCCTTCAACACCAACTGTATATGATCTCTTCGCTGATAGTGGATATTTTTCAGTAAATGAGAAACAGCAATTTGGAACGTCGTTCATGAGGAGTTATTTTTCTATAAAAGAATATTTATTGCGTGATCCAGCATCCATACTGAGCACACCATAATGAGAAGAGCACAATCTGCTGAGCAAACAGTAAGCAAATGGACGCGAATTCATCCGATAAAATTTGATCCCTGTTTACGACTACGACCGATTAGATTACTCTAACCAGCAACGTATGATTGATTCGACGAATTAACTTCATATACACAGTACTGTTGCGAGCCCCCACAAGAACTGGAGTCAGTTGTGAAGGAGTCGACGCAAAAGACTTTCATAAAAGTACCTCTAAAAGATCCTGCTGAATCCTTTGCCATGAAAATTTCCGCACTAAGATTTCAATACCGGCATGGCAAATGGATTTCCCCTTATCTTCTAATAATACAGTCCACATGATAAAGCATGATAGCCATCACCCGGATGCGCCGCATCTCTCAGGTTTCAGCATCATCTGGAGAATCGGCCGCTGTGGGAAAGGCTCTAGTTCCTCCTACCACTCTTGGCGGGTTTCACGTCATTGCCTTCAACCATCTTGTCGACTTGGTTCAAGGCAGGCTTCAGGATGTTGAACAGGACCCATCCAATGGCGGGGGCCAAAATGAAGAGAAGGATTAAAGGTCTGGTGTCAGCACCGAGCTGTGCAATTTCTTGAACCTGCGCATCAGCCTTCGGAGCAGCCAACAGAGACATCGCAGCGGCGCTTATACCAGTAGCTCCAATCATGCCACCGAATTTCTTCCCCCGCTTGACAGGAGCACCAGTGTCGTTACCTTCAACTATATTGTTGATCTGATTCAATGCAGGCTTCAAGATGTTAAACAGGACCCATCCGACAGCTGGAAGAAGAAGGCCAATTATGATAAGCCCTCTCGAGTCAGAATCGGCAAGAGTAGCAATCTCCTGGGCAGCGTCCGCATGTGGGGCCAAGAACAAGGACGCTGTTCCAAGGCCAAGAGCACCGATCACACCCCTTTTGCGGGTTATTGCGGCGGCGTTGCCCTGGTCCTGCATCTTTTCAATCTGGTTCAAGGCTGGGCGCAAGATGTTGAACAACACCCATCCAACGGCAGGTAGAAGGAGGCCGATAATGATAAGACCCCTTGCATCAGAATCTGCAACTTGTGCGATTTCCTGGGCTGCATCAGCGTGAGGGGCTGCTACCAAGGCGAGAGCTCCAAGTCCAGCACCAGCCACCAAAGACTTCGCAGCCTTCATCTTGTCAACCTGGTTCAAGGCTGGCTTGAGGATGTTGAACAGCACCCACCCAATAGCTGGAACCAGGGGGATGAGAAGAGCCACCACCCTGTTGTCACCCTCAGCCAAAGCCATGATTTGCTGTGAAGCCAAGGCAGATTCGGAGGTAGCCATTGCGGCGAACATCGCACCTGTCATACGTGGCACGTTAGCTCATCGAAACCAGAACATCGTCAATACCCGAGCGTCTGCTAGATAAAATTCAACATTACGATATAATCCTTTTTTTATCCATTCCCAATGCCAATTTCTACTTCACAGGTATTCGAGAGGAACCTCACATCAGATCATGTGATTCCCGAACACAAGTGAAAGGAGAGCTAGCTGACCTGCTAGTGCGTTGGCACCAACTGAAATTTGCTGTGCAACGCCATCGGATGAGGTCGAAAGCTTAGCACAAGGCACAGCTCTGGTGCTCACAGCGGACACCTTCAGGTTAGTGGCGCGAATGCCTTGCACTCCAACTCCGAAGGCATTGCTCCTCCTCAGAGCAGTGAGCTTGGGGCCTGCGGCCGCGGTCGCCATCGCCATTTCACTACTGATTTCACAGTTACCGCGTCTGAACTCTCACACCTGCTCAACATGCACACACACACACGGCAACCTCGATCCTCTTCAGATCATTTCCAAGACCACACATCACAAACAACCCCGCAGGACCCAATCACAATCATCACCTGCACTTCTCATCATCTACAAAATTTCATGTACCGAACACATCACCCTACGGATGCATTGATCTGCTAACTCAACCACACCTGGGCCAGTACAACAGCACAACGCAGCAAATCTAATCAAAACTACATGAACAATCACAACGAAGTCAAGTCATAACAATCACCATGAAACGAAGAACAATCAGAATCAACGAACCACACACATTGAAACAGAATTGAAACGACATCGTAGGGACAAACCGTGCATAGGAAAGGAAGGCAAATCCGAGATTGAAGGGCAACAAGGGTGATGAATTGGTGACATGGAGAACGAGCGACAGAAGGCAAACCTGAGCAAGGGGGAGGGATGGAGGAGCGATGAAGACGTTGAGGCGGGGAACAGCGAGTAGGGCAGGGCTGTGGGGCGAGGTGATGAGATGGGGGCATGGGGATAAGGCTGCCGGTCTCGAGCATGGCAGCCAATGAGCAGCGATCTCTCACCACACCTTGGACGCCATAGCAACCTATCGGGTGAGATATCCCCCTCTCCCCGAGGTGGGGCTCGTCGCAAAGCACACCATGAGGCGCCCAATGCTTCCCATTGGGCTTCACGTAAGCGCCACTCGGGATAGTCTCCCCGATCTTTTTTTTCTCATTTGCTTCTGTCGGAAAGGACGAATGCGGAAGAGCCAATCAATCCCATTCAGAATATGCTACTTCGGCAATGCACACAACAAATCCCCCCTCTCTCCTCGTCGCTTCCCCCCTCACTAATTTCCACATCCAACATTACGTTGCTTCGTTACCGGCACATGACACGCTTTGCATTTTGCATTCTCTGACACCTTCTCATGCATTTTGTTTTTGTAACTTTATTATTGTTGTTGTTGTTGTTGTTGTTTTACTGTGAGCTGCATCAAGCACTGATCCGAAGCTGGATTTGGTGGACTCAAGCGTTGTTCTTCTTCATCTTCATTGGAGGGAAGGGATCGCTTCCGGCGCTCCATCAATGAGCGACGTCATTTGGATCTAGGGTTTGTCTTATTTGATTGAGTGGGATGTTGTTTTATGTGGATCTTCTTAAGAAGATTGCTGTGTGTTTAGAAAAGTATGAGGGCTCTTCTTGTTGTGGTAGTTATTTGTTGTAAATTGCAACTTAGCTAGCTCTTCTTTACATTGTTGAATATATATATATATATATATATATAATTCTAAAGTTGTCATTTTTGTTGTTTGTATACAAATTGTTCACATTTGAGTATATATTGATATTTTCTACTTTGTATTTGTATAATTCAATGTAAAAGAATAAAATAAAATAAGGTTATTTTTAAACATTTACACAATTGTTGAAGTCTTTACATTCTAAAAATTCATAATTGTCTAAGCTATAAATTGTGTGTAATGAGCAATTTTGATGCACAATTCAATTAGATTTTATTCACAATTCACATCCATTCACTCCTTTTAAAAAAAAATCTCCAAATATAAGTCTTGAAATTAAAAACATTATAAAAGAAAAGAAGACAAATTAAAAACATTGTATTTAAAAGCATATTGTCATATTTTTTTCATGTATATTCAGATTTGATGCTCTAAAATTATTGTTCTTAAATTACAAGCCTATCGAACCTCTTAGATTTCAATTATCTATTGTTCCTTAATTCAATAATTTTTGTACATCAAATTATTACAAATAACTTATAATAATGATAATACTAGATTGTTAAACATACATCCTAAAATTCTTATATAAATAAATCACTTTGATCATTACAATTGATCAAAACCTAAAATAAATCTTCTTCATTGATAAAAGTAGCAAACACAATTTGTACAAATTCTATCTTCTTATCTATTAAGTCATTGTAACATCCTTGAAAAATTCTTAAAATTCAAAGCTCTCACTCTTATTTAAACAACTAATCTAACTTAAATACATAACTTTGTCAACTCCACATTCTTAAATCTTTCTACTTTGCCACCTTTTGAGCAATAAAAAAGCTTTGTGATGAAGACTTCAAAAGAATTCTTTGCAACTAGAATTTAGCAATTATTGCTCTTTATTTAAAATCTCAATAATATAATTATTTTATTTGTATGTTTTTCTAATCTTTCATTTAAAGACTAATTTTTAACCAAATTATCAACTATTACATACACAAAAGGAAGATAAATGAAACAAATTGAAACAAAGCTAAATCATCCAACTTACAAGGCAAATTTTCAACATAAGCACTATATGGCCAACTTGTAAAATAAGTATTCAATATGTACAACATGTGGCCAAGTTTTTAACTTACCAATCATCTACAAACAATTATAAAGTCAAGCTCTTGTCTATAAAAATTTAAGAAAAAATTCACCAAAATATTATAAAATTAAATTATTTTTAGATATTTTTAGCTAATTCTTCTTATCTTTCAAACAACTAATATTAATATTGATATCTATGACATTATCTTCATTTCTAGGAACAAGTTCTATAAGAAGAAGTGATCACATATTGCTGAAGTTTAAGGTGCAATAAATTGTATTTGCTACAACCTTTAATATTTGTTTTCTTTAAAGATAATTGATAGGTTCTTTTAACCATAAATAATGTCTCATATTAGAGAGGAAAGACCACCTTGTTATTTGATCTTTAATGAAATCTTTATAACTTCATTTACATAAAACTTTAGAAACTCTTTAAGAAGTGGTTTGTACCTCCAATTATATTATCCAATATTTGAAGTCTATTCCATAGTTGTAATATCAAATGCATTATATCCCACCATTTATTTAAAGAAGAATATGTCATTCTTCATAGCCTTCATCCATGTTATATTGTCTTGAAAGTTGTGACAATTCCAATGGCTTTTCTAATAATTCAACAAATAATAACTATTGAATTAAATTTGTTGGTTGTTGATTTTCTATCTTAAATATAAAAAAACCACAAATAAAAATAAAAGATAGAATAAATTCTTTATTGAAACTATTTATTTCTCTAGCAAATGATATTTTAACTCTTCATTTTAGTTTTGATAAATGTCATTGATAAAAAGAATGAACTTTTTATTGCATTTGTAAGATTCTTGGATGGCTTCTATGTGTGTACATTAATATTATATCTGAGCCAATGTACAAGTTATTCCAACCTATTTTGGCATCGCTTTAAATCTAAAACCTCTTCTACTTCAAATTTTTGATTGTTGTTGATTTCTATGAAAGAAGGTAGCAAGTATTTTTTATTTAACATATCCATTGTTTTATATTGCTTAAAAAGAAACATATGGAAATTAAAATGGATATTTAGGGATTTTCAAGTACATGAATTATAATGAAACTCTAAAGAAGTAATACACTCTTATAATATTTTAAACAAAAGTAGCCAAATCAAAGATAAATATAAGATAAAAAAAATAGAATATTTATTGCCAAATATAAAGAGATTATAAATTCTTGAATTAAAATAAAAATATAAATAAAGCATTGACATGAATGAAGAAAGTCTCATTTTTTCTTTTATGTATTATTTAATTAAAAAATTATGTGGTGTTGTTCTCTAAGTCATTTGACATGTGTCCAACTTACAAGATAAGTTTCCAATATGTGCACGACATCACCAACTTATACAACAAGTTATAAACATGTATGAAATATGACCAACTTATAAAATAAGAGGTCAATATGTCCAACACGTGGTGAACTTGTTGGCCTAGTTTTCAACTTATCAATTCCTTGCAAATACTTAAGAAGTCAAATCTATATTTATAAAGCTTTTTTATAAGTTATTACTAAATTTATTTATTTTTATATAATATCTCTTATCTTCACTATTGTCAATATATCTATGACCTTAATTCTTCTTTTATATGCAAGTTCTATTATGAATGGTAATTATATGTTGAAAAAATCTAAAATATGTAAATTATATTTATTACATAATTTGATATTTATTCCTTTTGAATGTAGTTGAAAGATCTTTTAAACCTTCAAAAGTATTCCATATTTGGATATAAAGACTACCTTACTATTTGATCATAGTAAAGACCTTTATAACTTTATTCAAATAAAATATTTAAATCATCATGAAAAATAGTTCCTACCTTCAACAATATGTATGAAGAGTCTCTTCTAAAGTTATGATATCAAATGCATTGGATTTTTCCATTAATTGTGAAGGATAAGAAATTGAAGAATGAAAATAATTAGGTGAGATTTATCATAAAGGAAGATGATAAAACAATAATGAAAGAGTATGTATATTCAACAAAAAATTGGAATGGATTTTATCAAAGACAAGAAAGCTATTGATTCTTGAAACTAGACTAAAAGCAAGAAAGAAGTTTGTAAGAGTGAAAAAGATCTCATTTTTCTTTCTATATATTCTATTTAACTAAGAATTTTGTAGCAATATTCTAAAGGATCTCCAAAATGTGTCTAACTTATAAGACATGTGTTTAATTTGTAAGACAATTTTCTTATATGTGAGCCACATAGCCAACATATACCATGAGTAGCCAATATGTATAACATGTGGCCAACTTGGCTAAATTTTTAATCTATCAATCACTTAAAAACATGTATAAGTCAAATCCACATCTATGAAACTTTTTCAGAAGATATTGTATCATTTACCTATTATTATTTACTTTTATATAATTTTTCTTATTTGAATAAGTATTAATATTGATTGTGTCTATAACATTTATTTAAGAAAGAATATATTATTCTTAAGAGTCTTCATTTCTATTACAACATTGTTGTGTTGTAACATGACTCTATGGTGAAAGATAATAATATGGATCTTATTATAGAAGAAACAAGTTAAAAGATAAAATAGAAAAATATGGATAAATGATAGGAAGGTAGTAAAACTTTTAGTAGTAATACTGCCTTTTTAGAAAAGTGGCTTCTATTTACTTTGTAGGGCTATAAAAAAATAAAAAATAAGATAGATTAGAAAAATAAAAGATATAGGAATATGTAGGAGGAAGTTAGGAGTTGGTTTTAGTAGAATTTATCTCAAAAGGAACAAAAATTGATATCCAGAGAAGACCAATTACCAACCAGGGTCGAAATCAGACCCTAAGGCACAAAACTAAGCCTTGATGACAATTCTAGGATTCTTTTGTTGATTGGAGAGTAGGATTTAAGATAAGACTGGATATAGTTTCTATAGGCATTGATTTTGAAGGTTTTGGATGGATAATGACTATGTAAGAGCTTTGCAAAGTTGATGTTGTTTTCAATGATTCTGGTTTTTTGGAAAATAAAATATGATTGACGTTTTGAGCCATTTCAAGAGTTTGGTAATAGATCTAGAGGTAAAAATTCTTAGGGTTTGTGGATGTAGATGTGTTCAATGTGTGCTGTGAATTTGGATTTGATAAAATAGTTAGATTGAAAAGCATGAAAGTTTTTGTGGATTATGATCTCGAAATTCAGGGTTTTGAGGACTAGTGAGGTTTTCTTACATATCTATCAATCCACTTGTCAAATTGAAGCAAAAAATTTCATAGAGGTAGCCAGCTTGATTTCTAAAAAATGTGTAAAGTTTTGAAGCAACGTTATATTTCAATCAAGAGTAATTGGCTTTAAGAGATTGGCACAAATGTTGGAGAAGGAAGCTAGCCAACACCCAAGCACATTTTTGATGTTATCATCTATTTGATAATTTCGATCCTTTTCAATATTATTTGTGCTTATTATTAACTTAATTAATGAAGAATGCATAAAAGTTGAGTTAAAATCAATAGTTCAAACATTAATTATTGAA